ATCTATCAGAAATCTATGAAAGTTTTTCGTCACCTAGTTAGGCACCTTTACAGCTACCAGCCCCGGCTAGAGATATCGCTATTAACTGTAATTAAAATGTTTATATTGAATGTCAAGATGTTTCACTACCATGATATTCAATTATTTTTGGTGAAAATACTCCACTAGTTTTGTTATAATTATTAATGCAAACATTGAATACTTAGAAAAAAATATCCTTTCAATAATTTATATCCTTTCAAAAATTTCAAAAAGATTTTTTACTGCATAGCAAAAATATTACAAATTAACTTGTAATTTTCTCTCTACATTTCCTCTAAGTTATGATATTTTATACAACCACACCAATTACCTAGTCTCAAACTAGGGGATTTCCTTACTATGGGTACCAGAGCGACGAATCATTCGGGGGCATTGTCCAGAACACCCAAACCAGAACCAAAAACTTTAAAAAAGTTAATTTCCTAAATTAATCCTACCGGGAAACAAACCCGGGACCTCCTCATCCAACGACCACAGTGCAAACCGTTGTGCCCTTGAGGTCGTCGAATTTATTCGCAAAGAATGTACTTTTTGTGCGAATGTAATCATATTTTGTAGATAAAATCCGAACCATGGCAGCTCTATAATTATTGGTAAACCGTCGTAAGCTTGCCCCTCCTGGTGGTACGAGAATCGAGGGGCGGGTGGATGGAAAGAAATGGAAATGGAAATTAGTTTAGTTATATTCACGTTTTGAATATTATTACTAAGAATTGTAATAATGAGTGAGAGAGAATACTTTTACTTAATAATGAAATGTAAGAAATAAAAACCAAGCGTCATTATTATTCACAAATTCTTCACATAGTAAGTTAAATTAGAAAATATAAAAAAATTGTAGCAGTAGAGCTCCTTGTGAAAGAGTTCGTCCCGGGAAGTACAACCTTACCTGTTTCTGCGCAGTTGTGTGAAGATTACTGCGTTTCGGTTTTGAAGAGTAAGGGTCCTGGTGAAATTATAGGCACGTGCGACTTGTCAACTTATGTATGTCTCAGAATAACGGGTGACAATGCCCCTCAGATCTTTGTGATTTAAACCTCTGAGTGGCACTACAACTGTTAAGGACAACTGTCCCTTAGTATAAAAAAAATCCATCTGAAGATTCTGATGGTGAGTGTAATAAATCATTTTTTGTCTATTTTTGTATATTTATCTTATTAGTCAGCATGTTGTATTATGACCATTTAACACAAGATTTACGTTGCAAAACTTGTATTTAATTTTTTAACCGACTTTGAAAAAGGAGGAGGTTTTCAATTCGATTGTATTTTTTGTATGTATGTCACGCGATTACTCCGGCATTTGAGAACCATTTTGGTCATTCTTTTTTTCATAGGGAAGAATGTACCTCAGTATTGGTCCCATTTAAATTTGAAGAAAATATTGTAAGGGTAGCAAACTAGGGGATGAATCCGGTTTCACGCACTTCCCGGTGAAAGATTTCAATAAAACTTGGCAAATAGACTCACGAACTTTTGAATCAGGTTTTTTTTATAAAAAGTTGTAATTATTATTTGCTCTTGTGGGTGATTTTACTTAACTCTCTCTATAGTACCCGGACTATTGAAGCAACAATCACCAAGCCCTTATCTGTCAAAAGAATAAAGAGAATGTATTGTGTATTGTAGTAGAAATGTTATGCATGAGTGATTTCGTACTAAGCGGAGTGACCTCGTGTAATGCTCGTACAATGTTCAGAATTAGGAGCGGTTTCCTCCCAAGCTTTGTTGACCATGTAAACAATAAAGAATAGAGTATAATACACAGTCAACAGCACATCAAGCTACACATTGACGGATCTTGTTACGTTGCACTAGACGCGATATTCAAACTACAGTGTGCTGTTGACAGCACAAATAGCTTTTGGAAACCTAAATCCGTTCCTGTATCCATTAAACACATTCTTTATAATAATAGTTTCAAACTAGGGTCTCACTCCGTTACCCAGACTACTCAGACCAGGACCCCGATTCAGAACTCTTCGATATTTTAACCGAATCGTTTAATTGGATATCATTCTCGAATCGAAGGGCGCTTTCCGAGCTATTCAGAACATTCAAGTTAAACGTTCAATTCGGATTCGGATACGGTATCGTTATCTAACAGCGTTTACGGAATTAGTCGGTGAAATAGATTTTAAGAAAAATTAAGTCCTCTAATATACATTTTAAGACTAAAATATAGTAATGCATTAGTCTTGCATTAAAATAAATTAATAAAATTTATTAAATTTAAAATATCCAAACTTTATTTTTAAAAATGAGAGTTTTCCATATTGCATCATTGCTTTGGAAACAATAGGACGTTTGGTAACTTTCATTCGATAACTGTGAATCTAAATAGCGTTTACCTTAGCCTTTAGCCGTAGCCTTTGCCTGTCGAGAAGTTGAAGTAATCGTACGGATGTGGTATCATTTCGATTCGGTTTGGAAAACGACAGTTTGACGTTCGATTCGGGTGTTGTAAAAAAAAATTAAAAGAAATCGTACGATATCAAATCGGTTGGCAACTGAGTTATTGTGCGGTTCTGAATCTACCCCCTGAACCAATTCTTCTCCCAAATTGGCCCTATCGGGAAGCGAGTCTGGCATCTCCTTGTCCTGCGCTCACATTGAGAGTCGTTGGGTCAAGAGATTCAGTTCTCTCAGCAAATATAGCAGATTTTACTGCGTATAAAGTTTTTATCCTACGCTTCATTTCAAAGGTGTATTAAATTGTAAAATTATTTACAGGAAACTCAATGTTCAGTTTATTTCCAATAACCTGTATAACTGGAATACATAATTTTTCGACCTAATTTTCCTTATGAGGTCATTAATATTGCTTACTGATGAGTCGCTTCGTTGTAATATTTACATGAATATTGCAATAATACTATATACCAACATGGCGCTACCAAGTAATGTCGTTGTGAAAAATACTAAATAGGAGTATCTCACTTCATTTTGTGTATGACGTCATTGGCTTGATCTTGCTAATTCGTTTTTAAAAAGTACTCGCAATATATTTACATAAACTTAACTGTATATTAGACAACACATACGTTGCTCTGATCCCAAAGTAAGTAACTAAAGTACTTGTGTTATGGAAATCGGAAACAACGACGGTACCACAAACACCCAGACCTGAGACAATATTGAAAAGTTAAGCGGTTAACAGATTCACTGCATGTTTGCAGTTAATGCGTGAAGTCATAATCAACATGCAGTCGATCTCGGCGGTATGAAGTCGGTTTCGACTGCATGCAGTTAAAGCGTGAAGTCGTAATCAACATGCAGTCGATTTGGCTGTATGATTTCAGTTTCGACTACATGCAGTTAATGCGTGAAGTCGTAATCAACATGCAGTCGATGTCGGCTTTGTGAAGTCGGTTTCTACTGCATGTAGTTAATGCGTGAAATCGTCATCAACTTCATGCAGTCGTGGTCTCGGCTGCACGAAGTTGATTACGACTTCACGCATTAACTGCAAACATGCAGTCAATCTGCAGCCTTAGTTCTACATTGACCCGGCCGGGAACCGAACCCGGGACCTCAGAGGTGGCAATACCATGAAAACCAGAGTGTAAGCCACTCGACCACGAATGTCGTCATTCAACTTAAATAGCGAAGTTTGAACGACATATAGGATCTAGATTCCAGCTCTTCATTTTAGGAGGTAGAATACACAATTTCAACCGTCCCGGTACACTTCGGTAGTCGAATTGCAGGAGTTACATACCAAACCCACGTTCGAACAATGACATGAGCGTCTTGCAATTGAAGGGTCATTTAAAATTGACCTAGTAACCTCCAGAACTGACGTAATCTATCACAATGAGAGATTAAACAAGAACTCACTCAAATGGATATAAAATTATCTAGCGAGTTCTTAGACTTTCGTGATTGCCACGCATTGGAAATGAAACTAATTTTGTTGCATCTTTTCTATGATACCAAAACAAGTTAGGCCCTGGTGTTAAGCGACACGCCTGTCCAAAACAGTTGTTCTCCTTGTCATGAATAATGCATTTACCTGCATTTTGGTAAATTTCGAGCACCTAAATTTTTTTGTTTCTTTGAATAACGTCGATTACGCTGATTTTTCTTAACATTAAAACTGAAACTAAATAAGATATAAAAGAACCGCTTATAGGGGGTTGTAGATCTCGTGTCGCTGGTTCCAGATATGTTAATAACTCAATTTTGCTAAAATGTCGATTACGTTGTTTATGATAAGGACGTTGCAATGCCACTCGGAGCTTTAAATCGCAAATCTGAGGGACACTGCAACTGCGCCCGTCACCCTGAGACTAAGTTGAAAAGTCCCATGTGCCTGTACCCTTTCAAAACAGAAACGCAGTAATGCTCATATTATTGCTGAGCGGTAGAAATAGGCAGGTGGCAGTACTTCCGTGGACGAATTTTTTTCACAAGGAGCTCTAATGCTACCCACCAACAGTTTTCACATAATTTCAATCAGCAGTGGCCTTTGCACCTATAAAGGGCCAGAAACCATTGGTTTATCAGAATAAACAAATATACGCGATTTAGGCCATAAAAAATTGTTCAATTTAAATAAAAAATATCTCCTCATACGACCCGCCGAACACGCATCTACTCTCATTAGAGCGTTTAGGGCATGTTCGCCACGCTGACCCAATACGGATTGAATAAAAAAACTTCGAACGTTAAATCACATTTTTTTTTCAAACATGCCACGTTTCGGGTTCTTTTTAAGTCATGGTCACAGTTAACTGTCAAATGTGTTTTGAAAAAATAGGTTTACTTCCAATTCCATTTTACTTTATACTAATTAAACCTAACTAATAACAAGTAACTTTTAATAAAAAGGTACATTAGGATGATAATAATATGCTAAAAGGATTAAAATAACCACAACGTGTATGACGTAGATCACGCTATAACTATGATGACAAAAATAAGCTTAAATTAAAATAAAATTACGTTTTGTTACAGATTGAACAACATGGAGGACGTCCATATAGCCAACATTGTTAATTCCACTAATGTCACTGAAAGTGAACTCTCCAAGTAAGTTCTCTGTAGATCTTTCTCTTAATTCTTAGATAAATGAAGAAATTGGACGAGAACTGTTTAACTTTAACTCTACTAATATATACAAATTCGCACACACAACGACGACGTCACTGAATAAAACTGTCACACATTAAAATTTTAATTTAACATCAAAAACTTTAGTTGCCATTTTCCAAAAGTTGACTCTTTCGTTTAGTGACGGACGTTTAGTATCGATTTCAGTGTGCGCAATATTTTCTTTTTTATTCACGATATTCAAGAGGAAATTGTTTAACAGAAATCTGCTGCTCCAACATTTTTCGAATTTCCTCGAATGTTGTTAGAAAGCATTGTATATACAAATATCAAAATAAAAGTCAATGCCGATTCAGGTACACTTTTAGTAGCCGTAGAATTCCTTATGACACAGTTCATCTAGGGAAGTAATGTTTGCATTCCTGTGTTCTGATTTTAAAGGGTGAGGGTGTTGGTGAAATTACACGCACATGAGATTAGATTATGGCTCAAGATGATAGGCACAGTAGCAGTGTCCCTCAGATTACGATTTGATACTCTGAATGGCACTGCACACTGCAATAGACAGGCGTGTCGCTTAACACCGGGCACACAACTTAGTCGTCCTGTTACTTGGTATCATAAAAAAAATACTTTCAATTGTTTTATGGCGAATTTCAGATTAAACCAAAACATGCTTTTAATTCATTACGATCAGGTTTTTTTGACATATATTTTAAGATTTTGCCGCTGACTGTATAAATATTAACTTAAAATAAATACTTTTAAATTAAAATTTAAAAAAACAGGTACAAACAACAAGACTCTAAAAAGTCATTAAAGTTATCTGTCCACCTAATAATCGTCGAGATCAATTCACTTACTACAAACTAGGTGTGCCCACCACCTGCTTCATCATCAGACTCTAATCACCATTATGTAAGCCAACTATTTGCGCAGATTAATTATTAATTAGTCTGCAGATTGTCCTTGTTGCATCAGATCAAGGTTACCATATTATTGCAGTATCATCGAATTGATATGATATGGGTACCAAATTTAAAGTCGATCGACCAAGTGGAAGTAAAACAAACTTTCTTTTTATTATATATTCTGTGATACCTATAAATACTTGTGACGATGCGACCTCTTTCATCGTCAACCCACCTTTTTATCACTCGTTTTTCTGGTTTTTGGCCACTTACTTTTGAAATGTTGAATCGTTCTATAATTCTTTTTCTTCGTCATTATTACTATGCTTCGTTCCATCGTCAGTCCAACAAAATTCTCGAGGAGAAAAGACTTTTTGTTCATAATATTAAGCGACGGGACGAATAAGTCGTGCACCTAATGGTAAGCTACACGCCTGTCCATAACAGTTGCAGTGCCACTTAGAGATTGCGATTTCAATCTCTAAGTGGCACTGCAACTGTTATGGACAGAAAAGATCTGAGAGGCACTGCCACTGCGCCCGTCAACTTGAGACATAAGTTGATAAGTCCCATGTGCCTGTAATTTCACCAGCACCCTTACCTTTCAAAACCAGAACACAGTAATGCTGATATTACTGCTTGGCGGCAGAAATAAGTAAGGTGGCAGTACTACCCTGGACGAACTTACAATAAATTCATGTGGACCGACCGTTGCCTTGTATGATTATTATACAAGACCCGTGTGACATACTAACTAATCTTAGACAGCCTAGCAGCCTTCATCAAACATACCTGAGAACCATCCAGATTAAATTAGGCTATAAATAAAAAAACTGCTTTGAGATCAGTGCATCCATTTAAGAGCTGGCGATGCCACACATTGACAGATACACGGATATACAGACAAAGGCTTCAAACTTATAACTCCTCTGTTTTTAGCGTCGAGGATTCAAAATATTATCAAAGGATTCAAGAATGAAAATCTCATTATTTTACTTTTTATTCCATGGAAGCGAGACTTGCCCGCCTTCAACGTTATGTATGCATTCAAAACACGTTCGGTCTAAGCAAATGAATTATTTCTTACAAAAGACACGTATATAACAACAAAGGACGAGAATTTTATTAATAGCGTTTCGCATTACCTCACATAATATTCCATTTATGGACTACAAGTGAAAGAAGTATTCCTTTCTTTCGTTTTCTTTGCACTTCCTTTTCAATTATTCTTTTCATTGAAAGTAAAGAGAAGTAGCCGTCTGTGAAGATCTGTTAACAAGTGCACATGTAGTTAACTAAAATTTAGTTTAGTAATAGGACAGTTGTATAACACAAGTTTTGAATTTTAAATACATTAATTTATCAGCAGTAGAGCTCCATGTGACAGAGTTCGTTCGTTCAGGCAGATACTGACAACTTGCCTATTTCTGCCGCCAAGCAGTAATGTGAGCATTACTGAGTTCCGGTTTTGAAGGGCAAGGGTGCTGCTGAAATTACTGACATGTGGAACTAGTCAACTTATACCTTGGAGTGACGGTCGCAGTGGCAGTGCCTCTCAGATCTTTGCGATTTAAAATTCTGAGTGGCATTCCAACTGCTATATTAATAGGTGTCGCTTACCACCAAACGCACGACTTTTCGTGCCGTTACTTGGTATCATAAACAAAAATGTACTCGGTAACGCAGATGCATCATTACCAGCGTATGAATCCATACCTACCGAAAACTAGGCCGGGTTGGGTTGGTCATTCTGTAAATGGCTAATTATTAATATAAAATGGGCGAGCTGTGTACGGCTGTCGGTAGTGGTTGGCCGTGCGAGAAATTCTGTAAAATCACGAACCAACTGGTAGAACGACTATTGTACACACTGTTGAAGCACTCATAATGACAGTCTTTCAAAACTGATAATAACTCTAAGTTAGTGTGATTTTGATGCTCATGAATTCAATCTTTGCAGGTTCTCTCCTGGTCTCCTGACCTTTGCGGCGATTATCACAGGCTTCATCATGGTGATCGGTTTGTTCGGAAATCTACTTACAGTGGTTGCATTACTAAAGTGCCCCAAAGTGAGAAATGTTGCTGCTGCATTTATCATAAGGTAAGTCATATTAAGATAAGAGGTGATTCACCAACACAACCGCTTTATCAACACATATGAACATGAAACAATAATGAAAAAATGCCATGTAACATTGAGGTACTACAATGACCTACGAAAATACTAAAAGTTGTCGTAGTACTGCATGAAAATCTGTAGATAAATCCACAACATATGTTACTGGACGCGCTGTATCCCTAATACTGGAGATACTACGTTGTTAAGCTGCATATTCTCAATATTAGCCTAAAAATCACAAATGTATTTAACTAATTTGAGGATATCTAACTTTATAAATTTATTATCATTTATGGAAGTGAAGGAAGCTAACGTTAGTTTGTCAGCAAGTTGAGTTCCATTGTCCCTGACTATCCCACGCGTGATAGTATGGATGTGTATATTTATTTAATCTTTTTTTTTGCACAATACAATAATGTACAAATGGCGGACTCAATGCCATAAGGCATTCTATGAATCTAAGTTGTATAAATTTTTGTTCATGTGGACAGCTTTTAAAATAAATTTTATGTATAAATGCAACGCACTACCCGAAGGTGGTGGCTGAAAACAGTGCTTTGCTTTTGAGCAAATTTCGTACTCAGCAACGACCAATTTGGATTGCTGCAGCACACGCAAGCTCTTTTTGCTTTAATAACTTACTATTTTGCTTTTTACTGTATTTTTAATGGAACTTCCTGTTGTTTGTTTTTATTAACTTTAATTTTAATTTCTGTGTGTTTCTCTTTTTATCCATTGACTATATTATATTGTAGTGTGTGCGTTACAAACATTTTATTTATCTGTCTATAAATACATTTTTCTATCAATTTCAGTTTATGTATAGCAGATTTGCTATTCTGCGCAGTTGTGCTCCCATTCGCCATTTCGGACTTCTGGACGCGGTCGTGGCTCCACGGGGACGCGCTCTGTACGTTGGTCCCGTTCCTTCGCTACGGGAACGTAGGCGTTTCACTGCTAAGCATCGCCCTAATTACCTTAAACAGGTAAACTGGTCCCAGTAGACTCCATTGTGTTTATGAATGGCGCCCGGGTGCAATACCCTGGCGCCCTCTAGTAGGCACGTGATCAAAGTAGAATACTTACAGTTATATTTTCCCCGGTGTTCGGATATTTGAATGCAAATGGTATAATTATAGCGTAATCATCATGTTGGAAAGCAATAGCCCGTTTACTACGCTTTCTCCGCGAGGAACGCAGGCTCTTGGGAGACGTCGGCGGCGGCGCTCGGCGCCCCCTAAGCCCGTATATACGCCCGTGTGCGCCGCACAACCTATACCATAAGTAAAGCTGTATGTTGGCTGACCTAAGGGTACACTGTATTTTAGTTGGTACCGGTATTACTTTGCAGTATGGGACAAACTCCTCTTCCTACTGTACTAGATTGACAACGACTGGTTCCCTGCGGCTGGTAACGCATTTGCGATACTAAAGATGCTTCTAATTATCTATCGACATGCATTAGTTATACCATCTGACTAACTGTACTGTATACTCGTACCATAAAAAAGGCTACACCTTAACTAATGATTATAATCATCAATCGATTATAATCAATTCGTGCAAATAAATAACTAAATATTATGGCTAGTTTCTATCTCAAGAGATTCCATCGTTCAGTTTCTAGGAACTGGCTAAGTGTAGAACTCATTAGCATCAACAAGAGCCCTGTGGGATTTTGTCAACGTTATTTGCCGGTATATAACTAACGCTATGCACTTCTCATTTCCATATGCGTCGACTATAATCTAGAGTAGTAGACCCTTCAGAATTATATTTAATAGAGTTGCAGTTTTTTTTATTGAAAATAAGTGTGCATTTGACCTCCATCTCAACTGATAGCAAGTGACGACGAGGTAGACGATGGAGCATGCACACCTAAATAACGCCTATTTCCTCTCGCCTAGAAAAGGCCCAAGTTATAACATTCAGAGAATAAGTGATGAGTGTGTGCGTTATTATTATTATTAAGTCTGCAGGCAGGGAATTCCACTTTATAGCCGTTCTTTTTTTATATAGTAACAAGTGACGGGACGAACAAGTCATGCGCCTGATGGTAAACTACACGCCTGTCAACAGTTGCAGTGCCACTCAGAGCTTTAAATCGCAAAGGTCTGAGGGGCACTGCCACTGCACCTGTTACCCTGAGACTATGTTGACAAGTCCCATGTGACTGTAATTTCACCAGCACCCTTACCCTTCAAAACCGAAACACAGTAATGCTGATATTACTAGTTCACGGCAGAAATAGGTAAGGTGGCAGTACTTCCCTAGACGAACTCTTCCACAAGGAGCTCTACTGCTGCTAAATTAACAATGCGCACTAAACGTTTGAACTCAGCGACTCTTCTAAGGTCTAATCCATCCAGCCGTATTGGAGGCACATGATTTGGGGCTTTAAAATTTACTTTGATAATCATAAATTCACTCTTCTTTACAACGTAATCCATGCGTGTATTGTTCACAGAAGTGTAAAGATTTAGCGACTAAATACACGGGAAAATAAAAATAAATACATAATATGATAAGAAACTGGTAATTAGTGATAGTCATTTGTTGACTAATCGAAAGTCTCAAAATATATACAGCTCAAGATGTGAAGTGGCAAACAGAAAATGCTTTCCCCTTAAAAATTTACACTTAAAATTTATATTAAAGCATTTGCTTTAATGAATCTCTACAGTATCCATTAAGGAAAAGTACTTTAGCGCGTCTGTTTAATGCTTATAGAGATACCAATGGTGTGCGAGTTTATAGACGATAAATATCTCCAAAAATATTTAAAAAATGCTTATTTTCCTGACACAAGTGAATAGATTTCATTTACTTTAAATTTGCATTTTTTTTTAATGTCGTGATGTTTTTACTACAATGATAATTATCTATTTTTTGTGATTGTTTGTGTGTGTTATCACGTTGAGGCAACTGACGCTGGTTTCAGTCCAGTCGGGTCAAATAATTTTTGTATTCTTCGATCTTTTAATCAATAATAATAACTTTATATTTGTTCCTTTTTTAGGTACATAATGATAGCGCACCACAGCTGGTATGCGAGGGTTTATCGCAAACACAACATTGCTTTGATGATCATCTTCTCATGGATGTTCTCCTACGGAATGCAGACGCCAACACTTTTTAGTATTTGGGGTAAGAACTTTAACAATATTTCTAGCAACACCGGCTAATAATAACATTGTTGGCGTAATGTAACATCTAAAGTACCTAGCTATACGGCACAAATATGAAGACGTCTTCTGCTAAACGTACGCCTCGCTAATAGAAACTACATGACGTCGGGGATAGTGCAATTACGCGTAACTAGCATTGGATTATAAGATACCATTTTCGGTAAAATACATGTATAACATGTTACATTACATTACGGCGTGATATCACCATCACCCACATCGCACAGTGTGCGTTGCATTAGTGTGATATCGTCGGAGAGAGTGTAATTACGCGGACCTAGCATTTGATTATGAGTCTCCATTTCGGTAACTTAGTGGCCAAATTAAAGACGCGTAAATGTCGTGGCAACCAAATTAGCGTGATTTGCAGGGATCTGTTGATAGCAGTCCGTAGACAACATAAATTGATGCTTACTGTGCAAATATGAAAGTCGGAACTATTGAAATAACAAAATAATAACGTTAAATCCCTCTCCTGTAAATTTTTGCTTAGCGCAGATACGCGCCTTTTACCAATACTACATACGCGGATTTGCACTATCCCCGACGATAAGGTGCAATTGCCCTTTCCACGTGACATTCATGTAGAGGATATTCCAAGGATTCCACAGTTATATGGCGAACCGCTATAGAGTGGAATTCGCTGCTTGCCGACTTATTCCCTGAACTCTATAACTTGGGCCTTTTCAAGGCGAGAGTGAATAGGCATTATTTAGGTGTGCATGCTTCATCGTCACTTTCCACCGGTCAAGATGGAAGTCAAATGAGCGCTTATCTTTTTATAAAAATTTGAAAAAAACCTATATTAACTTAATAGGGTTTCGCTTAGATTGAAACCAATTTTTATAACCGTGTGTAACTAAAATTTTGTCTTTACAGGAAAGTTTGACTACGACCCTGAGCTGGGAACATGTTCGATAGTCCCTGATGACAACAAGCGATCCTCGAAGACGGCGCTCTTTGTCATAGCTTTCATTGTACCAGCAATGTTGATCTTCATCTGTTATGCCAGGATATTTTGGGTAGTGCATAGGTAAACCGAATAATATATGATTTGTTTTATTTATATACCTAGGTTCTCACGCAAGCTCTTACATCTCTCTCGGTCTTCGGCTGCTTCTGGCTGCCAATTCAAGTTCGCAGTCAGATACCAAAGACCTCGTTTTGAAGGTTCCACCCTGTATACCAAAGCAGATAATAATAGGTCCTAAACAAAAAGGAACTCGAAGGACATAAACTGAACTCCGTATAAGAAGATGAAGGAACTTCGTGTAAGTAACGCCTAACGTTGCATATACGGAGTTCAGTTTATGAAAGTTTCGAGTAACAGTAGAGCTCCTTGTGAAAGAGTTCGTCCAGGGAACACTGCCACCTTATCTTGTGAGCTTTAACGCGTTCCGGTTTTGAAGGGTATGGGTGCTGGTGAAATTACACGCACATGGGGCTTGTCAACTTATGTCTCAGGGTGACAGGCGCAGTGGCAGTGCCTCTCAGATCTGTGGGATTTAAAGCTCTAAATAGCACTGCAACTGTTATGGACAGGCGTGTCGCTATCCACCAGGCTCACAACTTGTTCGTCCCGTCACTTGAGATTATAAAAAAAATCGAAAAAGGTTCTCAACCATTGGAAAATTGCCCTAAACGTTCTCCTTAGAGGATATCTGTAGTGGAACATACAATGGGTAGTTGATGTAGTTGTTGTTTGACGAATGGTCTTTTTGAACACCGTGAAGTATAAATAAAGTTGCCATAAAGCAATAGAGTGTTTTCCTTATCTTTATGGCGGATATTCGCTTCAACTTTGCATTTTTATGAGTTTCGTAAAGTTATAAATATGACTGCATTATGCTTTAGGGTTGTTTGCGCTATAAATGCCTAAACATTGCTAATGGTGAGGGCGGAGAGTCAAAAGCTAGGTTCAATTTTTATTGTAAACAAACAAAAGTTTTTGTGAAAGAGTTCGTCCAGGAAAGTACTGCCAACTTGCCTATTTCTGCCGCCTGTAATATCTGCGTTCCGATTTTAAAGGGTAAAGGTGCTGGTAAAACTTCAGGCACATTACACTGTAAGACACAGTTGGTAGGACAATAGGCACATAACACTTGCCGACTTTGTGACGGTCACAGTGGCAGTGTCCTTCAGACCTTTGCGATTTAATACTCTGAGTGGCACTGCAACAACTATGAACAGGCGTATCACTTGACACCATGTGCACGACTTGTTCATCCTGTTACTTGGTATCATATAAAAAAATCAACAATAAAAGTACCACAAAAGTTGAATATTAAATGCGCCAATCTTTGAACGAAAACTATAGATTCACACTATAGTTTGACCATCTTGTGATGAAAAAATGTCTGCTTGATTTCAGTTCGGAACAACGCATGCGCGAGCACCAGAGATCCCAACGTAGCGGCCCCGGTGCACTTAACAACAGCACGAGTTCTGACAAACGATCCACGATTAAAGATAATAGAGAAACGAAAGCGCGACGAAATGAATGGCGCATCACTAAGATGGTCCTCGCCATTTTCCTGTCGTTCCTCGTCTGCTACTTGCCCATCACTATTGCCAAAGTGGCAGATAGTCATGTGCATTATCCTGGTAAGATTACGCTCTTTTATTCTGTTGTGATACTACTGCGTACGTTTAATAGCTACGTAGCATACAAAAATGGTAAACAAATCGAGCAATAGGTATAATAACGCAACATATATACCGATATGTTGATATATGATGGTTGACGATACCGCCGATACCTCCAATGAACAACGCCAACTTAATTTTTGGACCCGTTCTGTTTTAATTTTCTTTTTTTGTTCCTTTATTTTTTCATAAAATTCGTTTTTTTTTGTTTTTATTCTAATTTTGTTTTTTGTTTCTTTATTTTTTTTACAAAATTGGGGGAGCATAATATTAGTAAATAAATATGGCTGTTTACAAAAATAATAGAAAATTACCAAAAAATAAAGTTGGCGTAGTGTTCATCAATTTGATTAGGTAGTATTTATGTGGTCTGTGAAAGCAACGATGTCATCTCATGAAAATCATAAAATTAATACCAACTACATGAACATTTTAAAATTAAATTAAAAAATATTTTATTTTAAATTTCACATAATATGTGAAACATATACACATTTTGTATATTGTACAAAGTTGTGTATATGTGAAATATAAAAAAAAATTACGCTCCTATTTAAGCATAACAAAGTTATCGAATTATTTCATTCGTAGAATTTTTAAACCTCTCCTGAGAAGTTGTAATTTTGCAAATGTTGCAGATATGTTACTTAATACACCAACAATGGTGCGAAATTGTTAAATAATAAAAATGGAAGTAAATTGTTTAAATATTTGTTGAAAATTTTTTCATGCAGTTAAAATTGAGTGTGAGCGTTATTATTGCATGAAAAAAATACTCAACACAAGCGCAGCTATTTCGCACGATTCAAACTTCACTTGATTCGCAAAGTAGCACAGTAATTTACTTCCATTTTTTATTAATGTGGATATTCGCAAAGTAAAGCTTAAATAATTATTGTTGAGTTGGTTTTCTAAAAAGGCACATTTCTCGTATATTTATTATCTGCACTACCTATACGCCAATAAGTAGATCATTAATTCCTCTTTAATATGACATATAAGAAGTTAGTTTTCCTTGTAATATTATTCAAACATTCATTATGAGGTAAACTTATTTTCTGAACTTTGAAAAATATGCGTGTCAATAGATAGCACTGTGTGCTTCCTAAGATGGCGCTAATCCTAAACAAAATAACAGGATAGCGGGCACTATCCATAAAAATCTGTTCAATAAGCGCCGTCTAGTTGATTTGTTTGTTATCACTAGAAATTAGAGTATTTTTAAAAATTGCAGCATGTCAATGTAAAACAAATTAGTGACAAAAATATCTATGTGATATTCGTCGCGACATCTGCCCCCGTAGCATTGCTACGCGCTTATTCCAATTTTATCGCGCGTGTCGCGACTAACTTGCGTAGCCATACTACGGGGGCTGGTGTACCAATAGGTACTATATGCTCGACTACGCCGCCTCTTATCGGGATTAGCAATCCTCTTTAATTATTGGTTCATGGTAGATATTATGTGAGTATTTTGATACCGACGTTTGGTACATATTTTAAGAAATTAAGGCATATCCATTTATTCGATATCAATAGCAAATTCAAAGTCAACATAGTCATAAAGTAAAAGAAGCATCGTCACGATGAGAAGAAGCAAATGGATTTGCTGAAATGGACAGTAACACTGTTTACCATATAGCTAAATTTTAGAATTTGAATAGAAGGGGTACCTTTTTTTTTAAGGGGTACCTACCCCATTTTCCCATATGTATGTCAAAACGCCAACTACGGGATTTACAGTGCAATTTCCAAGTACTTTCTGTGTAGTTGCCGTCTACTGCTTCTCCATAGTGTAGTATCAACAACGTACTTACAAAATTCAATTATTTACAAACATTGAACATTTTATATTGAATCAAAATAAGCACTACGGCAATAAACTGATCTTTTGTGTGCTTCTTTCCCTTAAAACTTATGATAACGTTCGATTACAGTGTTCCACGTCATAGGCTACTTGCTCCTGTACGCGAGTGCGTGTGTAAACCCGATAATCTACGTGATAATGAACGCGCAGTACCGTGCGGCTTACGCGGCGGCGCTCTGCTGCCCTCTTTCAAGGCTGTCCGGTCTCACCAGCGGTGCGTATCCCTCCTCGCCCGTCGCATGCCAGACTAAGAAGACCGAGCGCACCTCGGCGCAAGCTTCGTACATACGACCATGAAGGTATCGTCACTTCAATTGTATACACCTCAAAATACTCACCGGGACTATGGTGTCGGAGCTATCTTCGTGCTGAGTGTTTTTAACTCTTGGGTGTGTCAGTTACGATGTTTTTTATGCTCGTCTGTCATCTCCATAGCACTGTATGTAATTCTTGCACCCATTAATATTTATATCTGATGCTTGCATCTTCCATCATGCAAGTCGACTTTTCTAATTCACTGTTCACGACGCTTGTATGTCGGCACGCACATATCAATACTACACAATAAAAACAATACATACACAAATAAATACATATATACTAAAGGATAATAAGTTTTATTTGTAAATATCCATTACGACAATTAATTAGTCTCCCATTTGTTTTAGAGAAATGGAACGAGCGTCACGGATACAGCTACAGCAACACACGAACGGCGCTCAGCCAAGTGTCACTGGGGGAATCACGGGCAGACCCACGGGCAGCCCCCTCCGGGCTGGGGCAACGATAAGTTCCGCACCCAAGAACCTCCACGACACCAGCACTGCGGCACCACCACGTGAATTAAATGGAACGAATTCGGAGCCAAAACCGGAACCTAGTCTGAAAACAGGCCCGAAAATTCGACCAATACGTAGTGCTGGCCTAAAAATAAGATTCCAAATAGGCAGCTGTAATCAAGAGGGTAAAAAAGAAACGAGCAAAATATAGTTTTTGTCGCTCGTTATTGGGACGCAGACAGAAAATATTTTTTTATTAAAGACTTTATATATTGCCAAAAATTACATACGTAGGTTAATTGTTCTTAAGTTTTATTTTGATTTTATTTGTATGATAATTACGCGCTTGTAAAGCGTGAGATTACCAGTATATTATAGCAACAGTATTTTATAATGCAATGCTTTGCTAGTGTAGTTATAACCAAAGGATTTGTGATTTATTTTAAAAGACATTTTTAGAATTTACTAAATTGTATTTCCAATCCGTCTACTTACGTATTACGTGTCCGTCCTTTATAGCGAGCGACAAATAAATTGAGTGACTCACTAAGTAAATGACAATTCTTTGGGAGCATAATCATTTCCAAGCTTATCGAATTACATACAGTTTATTTTTTTTGTTTAAGTATGTAATAATAATAATGTGCTAGACTACCACACCAATTGCCTGGTCTTAAACTAGGAAATTCCCTGTATTATGAATACCAGGGCAACACAATTTAGAGAAATTCATTTCCCAAATTTATACTACCAGGGATCGAACCCGGGACCTCCTCATCCAGCGCTAGAGATGGGAGAAACTGGTTATTTTTTTAAACGGATAAACGTTGAAGCTTTTTTAAAAAGCGTGCTTTTTTAAACGCTTTTCATCACTTATACGCTTTTTAGTTTGAAGCGTAAAGGTTTTCAATTAAGTAAGTTTATTTGTAAAACACGAGTTTTATTTATAAAATTATTATTCACATCGACGAATTAATTTGTTTAGAAAACATAAATGGTAGGACTTGAAACTTGGGCACGTTGTAAAAAATGAAATTGTTGAGTGTAGAACTGACCAACTCTTACGCTTAAAATAAAAAGCGTGCTTAAGTGCTTATTTTAAAAAGCAAAATTTTTTAAATCGTTCATTTAAACGCCCACCTCTATCCAGCGCCCACAGTGCTAACCGTTGGACCACGAGGTCGTCATCTTCAAATTATCACTTGCTTGCCTGTGAAAGAAATTGCCATGAAACTTGTATGTCGAAGAATGTGCACACAACTTTTTGGAGATAATATATGAATTCTCCATCCCCATTGGGCCAACAACAGCATCTTAAACCCTCTCAGTATAAAAGCCTCGTACCCTGCAGATGCGTATGATTTGGGTTCATGTTGAAGAGTAATTGTGCAGGGTTAACTTTAATTTATAAATAGTGGGTTAAAAAAAATGGCGTCGACTTTTGGAGAAGTACTTTCGGTGAAATGTAGGTATATCATTCTAATAATAACCAGCTACTTAAATATAACTGTCATCTCTTCAAAGCGAATTTGATTCACCAAGAATTCTTAATTTACTTAGTGACAAACCTTATCTAATCTAATTCCTAGATGACAAATAAGTTACATAGATGTAAACAAGATGTAAATAGAGTATTTATGTACAATGCCAAAAACATAGGTAAGATACATTATTATATATGTATGATCTAGAACGCGTATAGTCACTTTATACATTCCTGGAATATTGCCACTATATGACTATAGTGTTGACACAAATTGTATCCCTACTGCTTCGATGGTGCAAAATAGCTTTTGAAAGTTTTTTGGATGCAGTATGTGTACCCTGAATGATATATTGTTTAAAGGCTGTCAAGTAACATTTCGGGCGTTGTGGCGCTAGAAGTCTTTTAACATCACGTGTTGAAGTTGAAGAAAATATTTCTTTAAATTACGCACCTGATGATGAAAAAACCGACCTCAAAAGTTAATCATTCCCTAGTTTGCCACTCTTAGAGGTGGAATATTTCCTTCAATTTTAAATGCGATCACTACCGAGGTACCTATCATCTTTTCAACAAAAGAAGAATCGTCAAAATCGATTAACAAATGGCCGGAGTTATCGCGTAACATAACATAAAAACACATACAATCGATTTGAAAACATCCTCCTTTTTTGAAGTCGGTTAGAAAGGTCCTTCTTAACTTGTCATCCTTTCGTTTATTATAATGACTTACAACATTCCACAGATACCATATTATGAATATGTCAATAGTAATGTCAATTATGAGAATTTTCGAAATCCTTCTGTATTTTCAGTTATCCTTTCTTAAAGATATGTTAGGCAAAGGCGTAACAAGGACATACACAACCTCAAACAAGCTTAGACGTATTTACTGCCTAAAATAATAAAGAAAAATTAACAAAACAATAGGGATACGTTGTACGCAATAGAATATAATAGAATTGGCACCAATTTGCCAAATTTTTTGTGGGACTAAAGAATAATAATAAATTTGTAAAGTGTGGTTGTGTCATCCCATTCAAAAATTAATTTACCTAACGATAAACTCGACGAGTTGGTAAAAAAGATTTAATCGAACCTGGAGAGCGATCATTTCCTGGTTTTCTCCAATAGCCAATACCTATCTTAAAACCGACGGCTTATAAGACTTATGTGTCGCAAAAGGTAGTCTCACTCGAGGTAAGGCATAGATGCAATAAGGTATAGGCAGATAGTTTCAAACAGGTTTAACCTGCGGGTTGAACGTATTTACTGACTAAAACAATGAAAGAAGTTGAACAAAAAAAATAGTTATATTTTGTACAATCACACGTTTACAATAGCCATGCACTCAGAATTGGCACCATTTTGCCAAATTTTTGTGGGACCAAAGAATAATAAATATTAGGTTTAGTAAATTACTAAATTTACAACCGATTTGGTACATCCAAAGTAGACAGTATTTAGAACAACCTTTAGCCAGGATAATGTCTCACAACATGTTGAGTTACACAAAGTAATTGCATATAGTCTACTTATCCTACTGTCAAATATACCAACAACGAACAATTTATCAAATGGAGCCCAATAAATCCAACCAAGAATTGTCGTTATTTTAAGAGCAACGCGCACTATATGGAATTATTTAAATGCAATGCGCATATCTGAAACAAACTTTTTTTTTAAATAAACTTCGTAAGTTGAACAATAGTTTGGAATAAAAAAGAAAAATTATTATTGAAAAGGAATTGATGTGAATGCCATAATAAAACTAGTAAGTAATTTTATGAAATAATATAATTTTTATTAATTATATAATGATTACCAACTAAGTATACTACATTATTTATTAATTACACTTTTTATAAAAAAATAAATGAAGAGAATAAAAAGATTACATTTCTCTTGTGTACTTTTTTCTGTTTACCTATATTATATATGATTACATATAATAAGACCAAGTACAACTAAGAACTGTATTTTTTCTTCATTTTTAATTTATCCAAATGACAATAAAAATTATTATATACCATAGTATGTTTCGTGAAAAAGATGAAAATAAAAATTGAATAATCTCAGTATACAGAGTACTAAAAAAACCGACCTCAAAATTACGTGGAATTACGTCTATTTGTCAAGTTTTATTGAAATATTCCCTAGTTCACCACTGTACACGACTTGACACAGGAGATAATAAAAATCGGTTCTCACTACTCAAAGTATATCGAGAGAAAAACGTCTTGAATTGAAGAATAGCAAAACCAACCATTAAAATAATTGCTCCTTAAGTAAAATTTAGGCGCTACTTTTAAAAATGAATGTTCATGCGTGATGAGTCAGCCTTAGAGATGGATGATTTTCTTCAAAATGAAATGAGATCATTATGGAGGTTCCCTCTTTCCAACAAAAAAAGAATCATGAAAATCGGTTCACAAATACCGGAGTTATCGCGTAACATACATACAAAAAAAAACATACAGTCGAATTGAGAACCTCCTTTTTTAAAATCGGTTAAAAATCAGGGACCATTAAAACCATAAATTGGGGCATAAAATCTAATACCAATAAAACTAAAGTTAAATATGTATTGAAAAACATAAGCCAAAACGAAAATCCGTTGAAAGTCCGAAAATCGCTTGAACAAAGGCATTTGTCATTTACACTGTAATTTTAATGACGTTACCTACTTCATGCCGGGATAGTTGTTACAACAGTAGTTGTTACGTACCAAGAACAAGTCGGGTCGTATAAGGTATAAGGGAGTACTACTGCTGGCACCCTTTAGAATGGATCTACTAAATACCAGCTGGACACCTTGAATTCCAAAGAGGAACTTGCCAAAACACTTATCGGTGACTCGGATTTAGTTGAGGCGAAACTATGTATCTATCTGTAATTTAGTAGCAGTAGAGCTCCTTGTGAAAGAGTTCGTTCAGGCAAGTGCCACCTTACCTATTTTTGCCGCCAAGCAGTAATGTGAGTATTACGCATTCCGATTTTGAATGTTTTTAATGACATTACAGGCACAAGGGACTTATCAAGTTATGTCTCAGGGTGACGGGCTTAGTGGCAGTGATTTTCAGATTTTTGCGATTTAGAGCGGTGACACACACTTCTCGTCTACCTTTACACACGCACGATTTTAAGCAGCGATATAAATGCGATGCAAGCGCGCGACTGCATCGATACATATGCGCAATTGCATCGATATACTTGGGACTTATAGACGATTACATCGATACAATCGGGCGTTTCCAAAGTCGCCGTGTGTAACCACTCTTAAAGCTCTGAGTTGCATTGGAACTGCTCTTGAAATTAGTGTGTTAGACGTGTTGCATACTAGGCGCACGACTTGTTTGTCCCGTCACTTGGTATAATAAAAAAGCTACAAAGGCTTTTGTTGCATCAGTATTCTGCAGTATCCTATGATATATCTATTATCACGGAGAGTGTGTGACAGAATTGCATGTAATCATTCTGCCATCCCCTTTTTTATCATCAGAAGACCTATACCCTTCCACATTTATTTTGCGTAGGTACTGCATTAAGCAAAATTCCCTGCCTGTAAATTTGTTCCCTAACGTGGATCTTTACAAGGCAAGAACAAATAGGCATATAGGTGGGCATACACAATCGTCGACCTTATCGTTACTTTCCATTAGGTGAGATGGAGGCTAAATGCACACTTATTCCGTTATCCGTAATACTGACTGGAACACCAAGTCTGGAAAATATTTATTTTAGACGTTTACGGCTCCCTGGGATGTTATAGATTTCGTAATTTTGATTTCTTTGTATCGGCTGTAATAGTCTATTATAACCATAGATATAGAAAAAAAGGGTAGATATGTAATGACGCTATGTAACATAAAATTGAAGAAAAGAATTGAAATAGCAGGTGTAAATGAAAGTAATGGTGAAAATTTGAACCAAATAGTTAGTAATATTGTAAAGTTGGGCGTTGCCTTGGATAGCAAAGACGTGGACTATGTGGCCAGGACGGGTCGACGATCTAAGGTAATACATCGAGTGGACCTTTCCCTATCGTTGTACGCTTTACAAGACGCGCATCGCGAGATGAGGTACTGCTGCTTGATTCTATTTACGGTCTAGTTATCTTAAGTCTCTTTATAAAATACCTGTGTTTTTTGTCGTATTACTGTTTCGTACTCTGTATCGATATTATTTTATGCTCTATGGTAGTAAAGGAAAATTTGGTACAGGTCGTTCAAATCGTTGTTCTATATGATATACGGGGCGCTATTATAAAAATATGTAAGTGTACAACTACACAAGAGGATCATATGCGCCACAGTAATATTTATAATTATCTTAACTTGTGTTATTTGTCCTCTTTAGCTTATATTTTTTATATACTGGCCTATCATCGTGCCACTCTCTTATTTTTCAGTAACTTAATGCTGTTATACTTATTTATTGCTATTTCGTAAACAAACAACTCTTTATATCATTTAATTATTCAACTTTTGTCCTTGTATTTTAGTAAGTTATTATAGTGTTGCCTATAAAAAAGAAATTGTTTACAATTAACCTATATAATGCCCAATCACTTAACACCTGTGATGATGAGTTTGTACTAGCGGTGGAAAGTCGCTGCCCAGACATTGTAGCCATAAATGAATCGTGGCTAAAGGGATGTGATGCATTGGCTGCTACTATTCCTTCGTATAAGTTTAAAATGCGCCCGCGTCCGCGCGAAGTGAAAGAAGGACGAGGGGGAGGTGTAGCCTTTTACATACGCGAAAGCGTAAAAGCTACTGTCATAAGTCATCCTACTTCTTCCGTAGAACAATTTTGGCTTCGAGTAGTGGCCGTGGGCACGGTTTACCGCCCTCCATGGCAAGCTGTAGATTTGTTCCTTGATGTTATTGCAGAATCTGTAACTTATTTTGCCAATTTCGATAAAATCATAGTATTGGGAGACTTCAATGTTAATCTATTGGATAATAACAGTTTAAATTATCGTAAATTTCAATCTTTTACTCATAGTTGCGGTTTGTCTCAGATAGTTGATGGACCAACACATTATACTGAAAATTCTGCAACATTGATCGATGTAGTATGCGCAGACTGTGTGGTCAAAAAAGTGGATTTGGATGCTATTTCAGGGCTCATAGGTCACTGTATGGTTAACGTTGTTCTTAATATAAAAAAAGATAAATTTAATCCAAAATGTATTACTTATAGGCCCATAAAAGATATTAATGTGAATAATTTTAATGTGGACTTGTTAAATTACGGCTTCCTAAATATTGATCCTTACTGTACTTTCGATGATATGGTCGACTCTTACACTAGTAAAGTTGTGCAATTATTCGATTGCCATGCGCCTGTAAAAACAGTACTTTTAAAACGTGAATCAACTCCGTGGGTAACTCCGAATACTAAACTTATCATTGATTTGTGTAATAAAGCTCTTCACCGATTCCGTCGCAGCCGACTCGACACTCATAAAGATTATTATAAAAGCCTCAAAAAACAAGTTAATATAGCTATGCTCTCTGAAAAGCGTGCATATTTTAACCAACGCATAAATAACTGCTCCAATGACTCTAAGAGGCTATGGAAAACATTAAAAATGATGTTCTTTCTTATAATAAACGATCTGAGACCTTGCCGCCTCACATTTCTGATCCTGAAAAGATAAATAAACACTTTCTAACCCTTCCATGTACTGATGCAATTTCACTTTCCGAATTGGCTTACTTCAAGTAAAATAAATACAGCAGCAGTATTTTCACTCTGCGAACAGTAAGTGAGATACAGGTGGGTAGAGCAATCCTTTCAATTAAGTCAGGGGCGTCAGGGGAAGATAATATAAATTCAGATATGGTTTTATTGACACTGCCGCACACTCTACCTCTCATAGCAAATATTATTAATAAATCTATTTCTTCCTCGACATTCCCGCGTGGCTGGAAGACTGCTCTGATTACGCCCCTTCCCAAAATTTATAATCCTAACACTTATAAAGACCTTAGGCCAATTAGTTTACTGCCCTGTCTATCAAAAGTACTGGAAAGGATAGTATTTTGGTAATTAACTACGTTCTTGGAAAGAAATAAAATCCTACCCGAAGTACGGTCTGGTTTTAGGAAAGATCTCAGTATATCAACAGCTCTTTTGAAAGTAGTAGACAATATACTTGACGCACAGGATAAGGGTATGGCCACTATATTGACTCTACTTGATTTTTCACGCGCATTTGACTCTATCAGTATCCCATTACTGCTTGCTAAGCTTGTCTATTATGGTTTTGACATAGCCACAGTAAAATGTCAATAGTTACTTGACAAATAGAGCTCAAATTGTCAAAGTTCAGGCGTCTAACGGCCATATCGCTAGATCTTCTGTAAGCAGTGTACATAGAGGCGTGCCGCAAGGATCTATGTTGGGACCTATTCTTTTAGTTTTGTACTCTCCGGATATTATAAGAAATGTGATATATTGTAATTACCATCTTTATGCGGACGATGTACAAATCTATATTCGCACACGTCCACAGGTTTTGAAACTGTCCCTTTCTAGGATTAACTCTGATCTCGATAGCATCACCCGATGGTCAAATAACAATGCTTTGATTCTGAATCCAACTAAATCAAAGTTTATGGTTCTAGGTTCAAAATACCAGATAGCAAGCGTCCTTTCACAGGATCCTAGGATTAGCATTCTTGGATCGTCAGTCGAATTTGTTAACCAAGCCAAAAATTTAGGTGTTACTATGGACAGCAGGTTGCGATTTGTGAGCCATGTAGAGTCTGTTGCGAGATCTTGCCTTTTTCGACTAAAAGTGCTATACAAAATTCGTCATTTGCTCAGCGAAGACTTTAGACTGAAAATGTGTGATTCCCTTATTTTATAAAAATTAAATTATGCTGATATAGTTTTCGGACCTTGTCTTCTCTCCACATCAAAAAAGGTAATACAGCGTATTCAAAACGCTTCCATACGATTTTGTTATAGAGTTCCACCGAGAAGTCACACAATACCTGTATTAAGCCAACACGGTATTCTGGATATGGAATCGAGAAGAATTTTGCATTTTTCTACATTGATGCACTCTGTTGTCAGATACAAAACCTTCCTTCCACCTTATCTATATTCAAAATTAAAGTGGCATACTTATTCATATAATTCACGCAGCATAAACAGTTTTTTATTGGTAACACCTTTTCATAAAACAAGAGCCTTTGAGGGTAGTTTCCGGTATCAGGCCTCTAAATTCTGGAACAATCTGCCTCCTCCACTCAGACAAAGGATCTCTAAATCAACATTTAAAAAACATATAAAAAAGTGTTAATAGAAAACCAGCGTATGCTCTGATGCCGGATGTTCCCAACTTATTAATGATATTTACATATATTTATAACTTTTATTTCACAGTCGACGCCGATACAGGAACGACTGAAAATCAGCGTCTGTTTCGACCGAGATAGACATATTGCTGAGTCGTATCCTTTTCCTCGCTTGAGCCACTACGCACACTTACTAAATTAAATTAATAAGTGTTGTTTTCTTTTTAGTTGTAATTTTTGATATAAGTGTGTGTAGTGTTTACAATTCAGTGAATAAACTTCTTTCTTCTTCTTCTTCTTCTAAGATCGGGTGCCGATGTCGCCACTTTTTATCTTGTGTAATTCAAACTTTACGCTCTATTATCTACTACCATAACTTAAAGATTTCGATTGGGTAGGGCTTAAAACGTGAAAACGATGTAAAACAAATAGGAAGTGAAACTATTTTTTCGGATTTAAATCGCGTATATTTGTTTTTTCAAACAAACCGACGTTTCGGGCCCTTTAAGGTCCCATGGTCACGGTTGACCGTGGGAGTCACCCGTGACCATGGGACCTGTAAAGGGCCCGAAACGTCGTACTACTACTACGTCCTAATACGGACCCCTGGGGAAGTCCGCACCTCATTGGGCGCTCAGCGCGCCTCCCTTCCCTCGTCTGGTAGAGCACCACCCTGTCCTCCAGGTAGTGCTCCAGAGTGATGTGTTTTTAATATTAAAAAAATATTCCATTTTTCATACTATGTCTACACTGGTACTGGTGTTTTATTAAATTAATATACATATTAATATAAATTATTATTATTTTCTTAATGGCGGCCACTAGGCTTGGACCAGTGTCAGTTTTATAAGAATAATATAAAAAATATGGCGATCGTCGCCAGTGTCAATTTTCCATTATACGTTACCACCTTATAGTTACCACGGGTTGGTGAAGCTGTCACTGTCAAGAGTAAATTCGAACCATCAACGAATTTAATAAATTAAATTATGTTGTTTTTTTGTGAAGGATTTATGTAATTTTCTATAATTGTTTCTAATTTATTTTGCATGCAAAAGTAAAATAAAGCTGATTGTATTTTATTTCTTTTTTAAATGCATTTGCTATGGAAATTGAAACAAAGTCAGAAATAGTAATAAGGAAACCAATCTTTCGATTTTCCTGCAGCTTCAATACAACCTTCTTTTATTTTAAACTCATTGGAAAAACTTAAAAATTAAAAATCTCCCCTTTTTGTTCTATATCTATGATTATAACTAAAAAATCGATAGCTATATCAGTAAAGGGTCGTGTTGGCAATTTGCGTTTTTTCAAAGGTACAGGAGGGATAGGTCCTGAAACTAAAATAAATTTTTACAGCTCTTTGCCATTAACTTCGGCATCGTTGTCTATTTATTTTTCGCCACCACACTTTGATATGCAGTCTACTTTTCTTTTTTAAATTTACTTACCTATGAAATAAAGATGATTTGAATATATGAGTTACATACTAATGCAACCACATCAAGCTACAAACCTTCAAACGATACGATCCCGTTTTACCCACATCACCGAATGGAATAGTCCTCCACAGTTAGAGATTATTATCTTTATTACAATAAATTGGTACAGAATATTTTTGGAATATACGGAGGCGTACACGCAGGTCAGTTGTTGGCGCTGTACTATTTCAGATTTAGGTAGATCCGAAAAAATACATCATTCTACATTTTGACGTATTTTGACCACACGAAAAATTGGTTTTTCGATATTAAATAATACGAATTCAACTTATTTTTTTAATTGATAACAAAAATAGAAGATACCGGTAGTGAACTATGAGGAACCAGAAAAACACGATTAACTAAACTTCGTTCGGTAAAAAATCACGAAAATCTGCAAAATTTTCGTAAACCGCCGAGATGGAGACTTAAACACCGCATCACCAGTCAGACCGCGACTACGGCCAGTGCAACCTGGCCGAAACGTCGGGAAACTAGGTACCGCGTGTATTCCCTTTTAGAAATGTTAGTGCAATGCTAAGCGAAAGTTTAAAAGTATATTATTGCTACTTTTTCTGTTTTCACTACGTTCACCTACGGAAAAATCTGTTACATTCGATTGTTATTACATATATTTCAATGAAATTTTCTCTCCCGTGTTCGGTAATAAATATGTCAGGGACTATTAAGTAATTTTATAGTAAGAGAGTACATTTTATTTCTAAAAGGCAGATGATTAAATATGCTGCAATGAATTCCTCCGCGTCTACCTCACACGATTCAAAGCTTAACCACGAAACCATTTCGCCTTGCATTTGCTAAACTATTGAGTTACTTCTCTCTTCACGAGGCGACGAATATATATCGGGTTTGACTTCACTGTAGAATCTTCTGTACAGAGGTCTTGGCAAAGGAGGTAAGTTTTCATGGATAGTCTCAAGGTTGTGGTTGTTTTGAGTTGTATAGTTCAAACGGCGCAATATCCTGTTGTTGTTTACAATTTTTTTCAACCGCTTACGTGTGTAATAAGCCGATATCAAACCAATCATGTGAAATGCTGAAAATAAAATAAAAATCTGTGCTTTAAGAGTGGTTACACATGGCGACTTTTAGCAGCGATGCCAACACGCGCTTGCGTCGCTGCTTAAAATCGCGCGCGTGTGTAAAGGTAGATAATTAATCACTGTATGTAAGCTTCAATGTGGAGTATGTACACAAAAGTGTAGAAAAACAACGACGACCTCGGATGTTCATGCTGTGGGCTCTAGACGAGGAGGTCCTGGGTTCGATTCCCATTATGATGATTTGTAAAATAAATTTCTAAATTAGTTATGTACTGGGTGTTCTGGGAAATGCCCCAGAGTAAATTCCGTTGCTCTGGTACTCATAGTACAGGATATTCCCTAGTTTGAGACCTGGCAACACATCACATAACATGTCCCTGAACTGCATTTAATTTTGGACAAATCCGCATATTTTCTCTATACAGAAGATTCGTGCCCAGTAAAGTAGTAAACTGTACGGATTTGTTTAATAATGTACAGTCAAGATCACGCTGGGCTTTACACAATGGACTTTGGACTGTATTCTACGGAAGTGACTTTTTAAATAAAAAATATTAGACATCACATACGTTGCTCCGATCCCAAAGTAAGTAACTAAAGCACTTGTGTTATGGAAATCGGAAACAACGACGGTACCACAAACACCTAGACCCGAGACAATACAGAAAAGTTTTTCTACATTGACCCGGCCGGGGATCGCATCCCGGACCTCAAGAGATGACGATACCATGAAAACCGGTGAGCAAGCCACTCGACCATGTACGTAGGTCGTCAAAACTTTAAATCGTAAGTACAAACTAAGTGTATTGTTGATTATACTTACCATAATTAGAACAATACCAAATACGTATAATTAGTATCTTCTACTTGTTCTTACTTAATTTGAACTCTAAGTTTTAGCCCGGCCTGTACGTACATATGCATTGGCCGTAGCGGGAATTTGTCAAATCAAAGCAATATAAAGGCAAAATATCAAAGATCATTAGTGGCCAATAAACTTACGTATTCGTATGAGCAGCGCCATAAAAAATGCATTATAACCAATGATGGCAATGAGCGCTGCTATTAGAGACGCTGTGACAATTCCTGTTGTGCCGAGTAGAATCATGTAGGTGGTCACGAGGCATGTTTTAACCTGAAAAAGGATAAAGTATTGAAAAAAGTACCTATCTTTAGTTTTTTTAAGCATTTGTATTCACCAGACCGACGTACGCACCTGAGACGGCTTTACACGCCTCGCCCGTAACTTCGATCATTAAATGGAGGTCAGAATCCAACTTATATACCTAAATTTATTTAGATTTCTGTGGTCATACTAGATTTTTTATTCCAGCTTGTTAATTTTTGTCTGACATATGTTTTAGCGGATCCCACCGCCCGTATTTCAACGCGCCTCCACGCGCCACTATGCGCCACTACGCGCCACCACGCGCCAACGCGCCTTTGGAAGAAGGCCACCCGAACGCGTTCGTGATAGCCCGTGGTTGGTGGATGTCATTATTCAACAAGAGCAGGTCGAGGTAAATTGTTAAGATTTTATTGAATTAAACATACGTAGTTTGTTTTACATATTCATACTATAGGTTCTCGCGTCGCGCCTTTAAAGTTACCCACACTCGGCTGATCCCAACAGGCAGGCACTGGCACGCTGACACGGGCGACCACCGGCACGCTCGGACGGCCCACTTCACACGGCGCGTTGGCGCGTGGTGGCGCGGGGTGGCGCGTTTTGGGGCGTAGTAGCGCGGTGAAAACGGGTAGTGGAAAGCAGCCATTAGGCTCAATTTATTTTTTAATAATTGATAATGAATTGGTTGATTGATAAAATGATTTGTTGTAGTTTCTAATTTGTTAAAATATTATGCTAGTAATCTAATTTGTTAATTATATACCTACTGTCATAGAAATATTACATATTTCTAGGCTAGTATGTATTATTACTTAATTTGGTGGAGGGTGTGCTTGTTGGGATGTATTTGTGTGGGGTGTGTATGTGTAAGGTGTATTTTATGTAATGGGATGCAATGAGATATATGTATGTAACATAAACTACTGTAGAAATATTCTTCCATTACTTGCTTCTTAAAGAAGTTCTATCTGCTAGGTATTGAATCACTCGGGCGATATCTAAACAAAAGAACACCCCCCGGACACTCCATACCACAGTCGAAAGTTATTTACCTACTAATACTACATACATCAAGGCGCTATCTGCACACGCAAATGTGTGCGCGAAGTGGCAGGTTACTCATCACTTTCTCGTACTATTACGTTACTGATCAGAGCGACAACATAGCGAAAATTCTAACGCTATTCTATAATTCTGTTAATAGAATCCTAATAATTACACATGTTCATTACCTATTTATATCGATATTATATTTTTCATTAATTCACCTACTTGAATAATATTGAAGAGTTATTTAAAAAATATATTAAAAGCACTTAAAACGTTATTTGGATAGGTACCTTTAAATGAGGTAACCAAAGTACCTATTTGAAATTGCGTGTCCAAGTTTACCATTGCTTCATAATTAATTAATAATTAGATAGTAAATATCACTACATAATATTTATCCCAATACAAATTGAGAATTCGAGATCCCTTGTCTACTCGTACTAGCTCACGAAGTTATGGCGTCTTATTATATTGATTTAATAAATCTGTGATATATATTACTCTGCACTAAAGAAAACAATAACTGAATGAGTCTCAGACGTAAGTTTTTTTTACTTACTTCGTTTCGTCTTTCAGAAAACTAAAGACACTCCTCTCTTTATCCCTTTAAATGATTATAAATAATAACTATAATAATATAATAATAACGACTATTTATAATGTTCGTGATTTGTGCTGTGTTTACGTTTAAAATGATGTTATATGCTAACGTACAAGTTTCGTAACGAATAAATGAAAACTATATTCACATATCACGGCTCGCCGACAGCCTTGTTGTCGTTCAGTCAATGTGACCGTCGAAGTGCGGGGCGTGGTGCGATATCTAAAGCTAGGGAGGGGCGGAGAGTGTCTTGTTCTATGACTAAAGGTCAAGTCAGGTAAGTGCAGATAAGTGTGGTTGCAAACATTACGGGTGATTGATTGAACACATGTCTGATCCCTAAGGCTGTTCGCAAGGAACTCCGGTACTATTTGATTCTTACATTTTTGTATTTATTGCATTCCCTGTTAATGTTAATGTTATTCTATCGCCTAAAGCTTGCGTAGCAAAGAGTGATGCCTAGAAATAAGGCAGCTTGTAATTACTTTTTAAATATTATTTATGTAAGTGGCCAGTTCCGGAAACTTGCAGTGCGCCCTATGTACCTACTGGTAGACATATCTGCTTCACACTACTGCTTGGCGGCAGAAATAGATAAGGTGGCAAGTGTAGGTACTTTAGCATTTTGGAGCATTTGGAGCATTACTGGACAACCTCTTTCAGAAGGAGTTCTGCTGCTTTATAGGGGGTTAAGCATTTTCTTGATGATGTATTTAGGTGTATCATTATGCGTAAAATATATTATAGGTCAAGAAATGAAACCATACCGTGAAAATTCCGTAAATAAGTATGACACCAGCAGTGACAGTGACGATTAGAAGCAACAAGGACAGACCGTAAACGTTGCTCCATAGCGTCCCTTTTACAACGAAACCTTTTAAGGGACCCTGCATACAAGTAACCTGTGAAATACAGGCGTCAATCTGAAATATGAAAACATGTATTTACTATTTTCACAAGTATACATATATTTATGTTAAGATATTAATATATATATAATACATATAAATATATTTACGCTAATATATATCTTTAATTACTCAATAGCATCCTGGTGTTGGGCAAATATGACCTACTCCTTCCCTTAAAAACAATGCGTATAATATATATAAGTAGGGGAGAGCGGGGCTAAACGTTCCGATTTTCAAATAAGTTGAAATTTTATATTGAAAATGAAGGATTTGATTGTAAATATTGAACAAATGTTTATCGCTTTTTGTAATAGTATAGTCACTTCTACTAATATCTCAATAGTCTTTTTCATAGAGGCAAATTTTTGACAAATTTCACAGCGCAATATTCAGCCCCGCTTTGGGGCGCGTTGTTCCGCCTTTGAGGCAAATTGTTCCGCCTAAATTATGGCAGGATAAAAAGGATTTTCTTAAATAAAATCACCTTTTTTATAATTATATGTATGTAATGTTTATATTATGCATAACTAATTAAAAAAAAACACTATATTCTTATTCATCAGTAATATTATTCAAAGGTCATTTGTTCATCTCAATCACAGTTGAAACACACATAAGTGACTCTATCATCTTGTCTAAATATTTGACACGAGCCCGTTTGTAGTTTCGCATCCTTAAAACAAAGAAAAATGGTCATGAGAATTTTAAGTATGATTGCAGGTCAATTGGGGAAGTTGTTCCTAGGAACAACCAGCCCCTAGAGAGAGGAACTTATGGCCCCAAATTATTTTTTATATATATAATAAGTTTTTATACGAAGACTGACATACCGGCAAAGTAATAGAATCAATGAAAAAAATACTCAAACAATAAGATTCCTAGATGTTTTGACAGCTCAACGCACATAGCCACATTTCCGTCGTCGCCGGAGTAACTGAAATGGCTGCCGGCAATGCGCATCACCTGACGCTTCAACAACGTGCTTCACATGTACTACTATATATATATTTTTCTTGCAAAGTTATTGCTGTGCTTAGTCTCCCCTAACTACATCGTCTGATCAGTTATAATATTCTATTTTCGTCGTGTAAATAACAAAATTAGGGCGTATTCTTAATTATGAGAATTGGTAGAATTCCTACTCTTATTAGTTTACTAAAGCTACATGTGGTGATAAGCCAAGTGCTTTCAACATGTGAAAGCCTTAAAAATAATATGAATTACAAGAAAAAAAACAAATGTATGTGAAGTTTTAATTAATTAAACTCTTTGTTTAAGCATAAAAAGGTATGGATTGATTTCATTTATAGAGTTAAGGAATGACCACCAACAGCGCCAAGACCCATAGACAATAAGAAAAACTAGATGCACCCTAACACCATACGAAGATAACATCTGATGCTAACCAGAACTCGATAATGGCAACGTTATCTTGGGACGCAATAAATAACCACAAGAGAATTGTTTTTGTGTCAAAACAGAGCACATTCCGGGACTGCATCTTTATCTTTATGGCATCCTGGCGACAGACGAGATTCCAGAACATTCTCGAGGATCTACGTAACGACGCGACCCCGCCCTTACCGTCTGGTATAAAGAATCACACACCAGCGGCAACGTGGCAATTCGCATTCAATACCCAAGCTCCGAATCGCTCGAGTTACGGTTTAATTTGTAGTATTTTCTAAATTATATACTCAATAAATCAGCATACCTACTTCCTCATTCGACGTTCTACGTTATTGAAATAAAAAAGACCCCCGACTTTCCGAAAATTATGATGACACATAACTATAGAATCTTTAATTATCTCTCCTGAAAAGATGTCATTTGCTGGTGTGGTCTAATAACAACGTGTGTGGAAATTGATGAAGTTGACGCCAAAACCCAAGAATAAAAGGAGGTAGAATTTTCTACCTTCTTTTGTTTTATGAATATTTGCAAGAAAGCTTTCTCTTTTTCTTGGCCATATACTAAAACCCTCAAAAGTAATTTAGGTGTATTGAACGACAAAAATGCTTATTTTTGTACACTCCCTCCCTGGATTAAGTGCATCAAGTGCGCTTAAGACACCCAAGCGTGAATAAGATAATTTTTTATAAAGATAAAAATACCATTAAATTACGTACTCGCTCTTGCTGGATTAAACGCCTTAGCGGCCCTAAGCGTGAATAAGAAAATTTCGGAAAATACAAAATTAGTCGGATATCTAGGGAAGGCTCGATCATTCTCAGTAATACCTACTTACACAAAACTGTTTCCTGAAAAGTAATGTTACATTACATTACGGCGTGATATCGCCATCACCCAAATCGCACAGTGTGCGTTGCATTAGTGTGATATCGTCGGGGAGAGTGCAAATGAGTCTCCATTTCGGTAATTTAGTGACCAAATCAAATCCGCGTAAATATCTTGGCAACTAAATTAGCGTGATTTACGGAAATCTATTGTTACCAATCCGTAGACAACATAAATTAATGCTTACTGTGCAAAAATGAAAGTCGCAGCCATTGACATAACAGTGTAATAACGTTAAATCCTTCTCCTGTAAAATTTAGTTTGGTGCAGATATGCGCATTTCACCATTACAACATATGCGGATTTGCACTATCTCCGACGATATCACCATCACTCGTATCACACAGACTAAAAATCAGATGCGTTATAAGCATCACTCCGTGCTACTATCATCACATAGCATTACAGTCACTCGCATCACACAGACTAAAAATGAGATGTGTTATAAACATCACTCCGTGCTGGTACAACTACTACTTACTACTTAGTAATATTAGTAATATTACCATCAATCACACTTCACCTGTTCCTAGCATTGCTGCGGCCGATACGCGTCAACTATAGTAGATAGATATTAATTACTTGGTGTGAAGAAACTATTACATTTTTTAATAACGCAAACACAGCAATATAGGGTATCCAGTATTAAAACATATACGTAACCTTTATGTATATTGTAACTGAAATAAATAATACCGTGCATTAATAAAAACCGGTATTCTGTCGGTGTTATTGATGATGTTAATGATGTGTAATGTCACATTTCACTATCGCGTGATATCACAATGTAATATTATTCGCATTACTTACACACCAATAATTGTCAAGTTAGTGTACACTGCCTAACTTCCCTAGTAAATGCCAGGCAAATAAAAGACGAACAATAAATAGTATATTTGTCATCAACATACTCTTACATAAATATAACAACCCAATGCCTGCGCCAACAGTCACAAATTATTCAATAAAATGAAATAGAATGTCCATGCTCTTTAACGCATCAATACAATATATCAACATCCAGGTCATGATTGCTCAGCACATTATCCAAGCTCTTGCTAGCTCTACATTTAAAAACTGTTTGTCTGTAACAATTTGTCCTCGCTAAGGAAACTGAAACAAGGTGGTAGTGTCTCATAGAACGCTTAGGTACATTAAATAATAGTTCAAGGCGGTCATCATTACCGTTTATGATGTTAATAAAACACGTTATAACAAAGATTTTTCGGCAAATATTTAGAGGTAATAGATTCAGATCCTTATGGAGACGTAGGTCGAATAAATAATAAGATTTACTCATTTTATAGCCTAACAATAAAAATAATTTTTTTTGGACTCGTTCAATTCTGCCGATATAGACTTGGTATATCCGATTTCAGATTTTGAGAAGCATTTCTAACTTACTACGAACATATGCACAATATAATATTCGTAGAGTACATTATGAATCCAAGAGACTCAGTTGCCTTATATGTAAGTTTTCTTGTGCAATATTATTTAATAATCGAGTATAGTATCGTGAAATTTAAGAGAATCACGGGGAGAGATTATAAAATGCTTATATGCAATAAGAACGAAAAAGACGTTGCGCGTTTCGCTTCAGCTCGGACTTTCGCATCAGTTTTTTTCACTATTTACATTACATGGACATAAAACTTTTTCTGGCTGGTTTAATGCAATATCTACCTTGTCGATAAATTACCTATGTGGCGACTCTATTATTACAAGGTAATAAAAATTGCCACGGAAATTAGACAGAGCGGGCCTGATTTAGTAAGCGCAATTAAAATATTATCTTCAGACCGGCCTGAGCGTAAAGACCTTTCTTATTATACCGCTGAATATCGCTATCAAAATCTACGAATACTTTTAACATATGATGATACAATGTTCTGGGTCAACAGAAGATTAAAAACCGTCAATTCTTCGCGTACGTAGAAATACATTAATATTAATAAATATTTATTGAACAAAATTAATTCACACATGAAGCATCGTTGTGACCTTGTGTGGTGACATTTAACACCATACACTTTCTCAATAGTGATAAGATTCAATTTCGCTTGCACTTTACGAAATTTTATTTAAACAGTAATAAAAATTCCTCGGATTTAGTTGATTGTTTAGTTTAAGTACTAACTTGGCCCTTCCCAAGACCGAAAGAAAAAGAAGAAAAAACACACACACGCCAGGACGATGAACTTGGTGTCCTCGAGACTTGATGCCTTTAATAACAGTTTATGTTGCTTTTAGCTTAATACGGCGCTGGTATTTGCAAAAGTCGTGGAACAAAAGTTGTTAGATTTCGTATCCAATATAATAAACCCGTTTATTTTGGTGCCATCTCCAGAGACCCGTCTACATTAGAATAGGAATACCAATAATGAAGTCACAATAACTGCTATATAGATGTCTACACAAAATTGCACGGAGATTGAAAAAGTAACATGTTTTAAATTTGGACTGAAGAATTAAAAAAATGAACTATTTTTCTATACACATATAAGGTACATATACAGGTAGATACTCTTCCTTCCAATGATTATTAAAGCGGTAACAAGGAAAACACCATTATTTGTGTTAGGACGCGTTCACACTAGGTCGTGACGTTTTATTTATCGTTGGACGACTGTCGCGCTAGCCTATTCCCGTATCACGACTATCTCTCGTGACTGTGTCGTGGACGATTATTTTATCGTTGAACGACTGTCGTGTATAACTGTTCCCACTAGATCGTGACGACAATTTATCGTTTCACGGCAGACGCCTTGTTAAACGACAGAGTCGTTTGAAGCACTACAATTGCTTCTATGTTCTTTTGGAAGCCAGTGGTGTGTTTTCGCGCCCGTGTGAAATGGATGAAGATGAAAATATAATAATGTATTACTTTTTAAAAAGGCGAAAGAGGAGGCAAACCAAGAAAAAAAAGTATTGGGTACATCCAATGTTATTAAAAAGAATTCCATTAGGATTATGTCAAACGTTTATAGATGAGCTGAAATGTGATGAGAGAAAATTTTTGGACTATTTAATATTTTGTAATAATATGTATAATTAAATTTGAACAAAACTCTATTCACAACAAAAATTTAGTCGTAAGTAGTTTTTGCCCTCGATTTCGAGCTTTATGGGTTTTATCCCGATTTAAACCCGGCGCTAACAAAAAGCCGGGTTAAAACCCGGGCCCATCTCTGGCCACAACATGACGCTAGTGCAAAGCGAACCGAGGGAGCGGGGTATGAGAGGGGAAGTGGGGAGCAGAACACGTGCATACAATGACAAATAAATCATGACGACTAGTAGCTGCGTCTATCTGTCGTCACGTTTTATTTGTCGTTGGACGACTCTCGTTCTAACTCTCCCCATTATCACGACAGTATGTCGTCGTAACGAGAAAAAAAATCGGGAACTGCAGTTAATCGTGTCGTTCTATATGTGAACAACTTCATTTAAATATACAAGCCACGACACTGTAAACTGCACGACGATCTGTCGTCACGACATAGTGGGAACGCGCCCTTAGTAGTGCTTACCAATAAGTAACTTTATTCTTTTTTTTTTAACTATAAAGAGCATGTTTCTTTGTTTAGGCATAAGCATCCAGAAAGTATCAATTTTGTTAAATATTTCTTAGAAACAAGTCACATTTTACCAATTTCCCAGTGTTATGAAATCTTACATTTTTAAGAAAAAGGGCACGTCTGGCTGTTTTAGAAGAGATGGAACTAATTGGGTATAAAAATACCTCTAATAAAAATACATAATTGTAATTAATAAACAATTGAATGTTGCATCATTATCGCTATTGCGGGTACTTTCAAATTTTAAGGATGGTAATCTTCTCTTAGTAGTAGATAAGAAGAACGATGGTAATAATAGGGGTGACGGGGTATACATATGACTAACCGTTCTGAGAAAAAAGAGCGAGCTCATTCTTCGGCCGAGCGTTGAACAATCAACAATTCATGACGATGCCTCATAGAGGCGAAACCCGAATCGGGTATATTGTTCGTGGTAAAACCAATCTGCGACTGTAGCTGCGCTCGCGCAATTTTATTAATTCTGTGTTGATGGAGGGTTGGAAAATGAAATAAGTAAGTACTTACGATATGAAAAATCCCAAATATTGTAGAAACGAAGTCCCAAATCTTCGAATCTCTGTAAATAATAATATTTTAATAAAGCTTACAAAAAATAGAAATATCGCCGTAAATACGAATAATAAGGTAGGTATTGTGTGTTGGGTACAAGTTTCCCATACTTTTTGTATGTATGAAAGAACGGGCTTACTCAACGTTTATTTGCACATAGATAGGCCATACTTATGCAGGCGCATGAAAGTCGAGGAAAGCAAACTATATATAGAGACACACTGGTGCGTTTCTACAACACTGTCACATGAGAAGTAACTATAACAATGTTATTTAACACTAAGCCTTATCCAATATTGTGCGCTTGTTTAATTCAACAGTGGACAAAGGAACACTAATGAAACCTGCATGTCGGAGGAGGTGGAAAAAGAGGCATGCAATATTATTTTTTTTCTTTTCGTGTACTTATAATTTAATGTATCATTTATTCTTGAAAAGAAAAATATCGGTGATGAAACATGGAAGTCAATGCTGAAGGTCACATAACTCTTGAAAGATGTATGTAAAGTGACCAACCTGCAAGTAGTGGGAAATTATCATCTAAATTAAAACGTTTTAGTGAAAATCTGTATACAAAAATAGGATGTCCCTACCTACATGAGTTTATACAGTTACAGTTTACTTTACGCAAAATATACATGCACATACCTTGTACACTTGAACGAACCAAATTGTAGGGCCATTTTATTAAAGCGACACTATTCATGAGATTTTATCGCAAAAAACGTGATTGAATTCATTTCCTTTTTGAATGATAAACGATTTAGGAATAATAGAACTTAAATCGTGTAAATGTCAAAAGAGTTATTTGCTATTGATATATGAATTAAATGCACTGTACAAATGTTTCTTGTGAGTAATCATCAGTAATGAATCACTTTTTCCTGTTTCCTTACATCATTATTTTAATGTAGGACATGCTACATTTTCCGTATTTTGCATCTTAAAATTGTATTTTAACTTAGAAAAACCAGGCTAGCTGGTAAGTTTTTATAACTTGAAAGAGTAACTTAAATCCCAATTGAAATCAAATGTTTAAATTCAATGATAAGCAAAGATAACCGGATCGTAGCAAATAGATATTCAGTGCCGACTTTACCATTGTTGAGGGTGCTGAGATACCTCCGAAGAGCCTGAGTCTCTCACGGCGCAAGAGACGTAATCGGGCTACTGTTTCCCAGCATCATTAAAATTTATGCAGGATTAATTTGTAAATAACTCTGTATAAATGATGTTTAGAAATTTGTCCAGGAAAGTACACCACCACCATGCAACCTTACCTATTTCAACACACAAAACAGTACCAATGCGAGATATATTGCGTTTTAGTTTTGATTGGTAAGGGTAATGGTGAAATTACATGCTCGTGGGACTTTTCAATTTATGTCTCAAGCAGACGGGCGCAGTGGCAGTGCCCCTCAGATCTTTTCAGATTTAAAGTTCTGAGCAGCGCTGCAACTGTTATGGACAGGCGTGTCGCTTACCACCACGTGCACGACTTGTTCGTCCTGTCACTTGATATAATAATAAAATAAATCGCGTCTGTTGCCTCAACGTGGCTACAACTCTCGACAACTACGGATTGAACCAGCAGATCTCACGAATTTCTCTGTGCTTTTTGCGGATCTTTGTATTGGGTTTAAACGACTTTTGTGAGAACTTAATTATGAAAGTTTCTTCACTAGGCAGGTAAAGAAAATAGATGAATATTATGGTAGTAAAAACATCATTATACAATTTGTCCGAGGATGTGGTGCAATCATTTTAAGGGCGATAACTATAATGAATTTTATCGACAAAAACACTCTCATGTGAAGGTCGAATCCACCCCCAAACCCTTGCCTACTTATACACCTGCAAGATGGGTTTACAGATTCAATTACACTACATTTTGGTGTCATTTGAAAGCTAAGAACATTTACTACGTAAAATAACATCAGCAGTACATTTTGTGCTAACAATAATTTTTCAAGTTACTACGAAAACAAGGACATTGACATACTTTTTGACATAGGCATAGGCATTATTTTTTGTATTTAATTGTTAGCTTTTTAGTTGTTCTACAAATCGATACAAGAATTGTCAGTCTAATAGAATATAGTCTAATAATCTATACATAGTCTAATAGAAGTTATTGTTGAATAAAAAAGGACCTCTGCGCAAGCGCATTCAACAGGTAGAGCACATTGAACAGGTAGTTACGAGCGGTAATCATTTTGTCGTTAGTAAGAAAGAGACAAAACACTTTCATTTCAAAGATAAGTAATGAAGAAATTAAATCAAACAACAATTACGAATCTGATACAAATTTGTTTTATCCCCGGACATACTGCATACCATAAAAATAAAATAATATAACTCGATGTTTGCTTGTTTATTTTTTTGGTTTTCTTTTTGTGTTGTGGCCTAGCATTTAATGTTTTTTATTCTATTATTGTATGGGCTCACACATTCTTCGGTATAACTCTGCGTACACAGCTACCTACATTAGCCGCGTGCCGCACTTTAAAAACGAAATTCACACTTTATCTTAGGTAGTACGTTATCAACTGTCCACTGATACACTACATCAAGGAAAGACTTGCCACCATAACACCTGTATTTTCTACCAATATACTTATACTTTTACCACTCACTTTGCAAGCCTTTCTCTGCTATAACACCTGTATGGAGCAAGGTGGCCCATACAATTATATTCCATTTTATGTTACAATAAATTAAAACAAGAAATAAAAATGTATTATTTATTACGCGTATACTAATAAGTAGTACACATTATAACTAGAAGCTGTTACAATATCAAATTGATATCTAGTCAATAACAGTTACACTAAACAATACAATAAGGCACGCTAAAAGGCAGATACTCAAGTCTTCGAGTACAAGTAGACAAATTTAAGGCAGAGTTCATAGAGCGCTTTCAAATTAGACGCATTAGAAGCATTCAGTAATTTTTAGTTGTGACTGCAAAAGCGGAGCGCGCATGTCACGACAGTGGCTCTGCAACAATGCTCCTAAATATTGTATGAAAATCAGTAGTAACGCGGCGGCAGCGCCACTGTGATGCCAGTGTAGAGCTTCTATAACGTCTAAGTTAAAGATGCCCTTAAGTTCCAAATACGCAATTTAAGAATTGTTATGTGTTGTATTCTACTTTATCTCGCATGAGAATCAATCAATATGTGACATAATGCCTTTATTTCGCATAAGTAAAGCATCATATTTCGTAGCCAATTCAGGAAGACTTGTATAGACTCAAATCGTGTAATTTACGTTTGTGGATTATTTTTCTTACACTATCCTAAAAGAAAATCTCGTAATCAAGGGAACTTAAGCAAATAAGGTGTTGATAACCTATATCTCTTTGTCTAATGTATGCAAGAAGATAAGTTTACCATCGTAGGTACAATTACTCTTATGATCTATACACACTGAAAATGCTAATTTTCAGTTGTACAATTTGCATGTTTCATTGAAAATAAAAATGCATTATGTAAAAAAAAATCGATTCCGAATTTTATATAAATGCACAAAAAAATTCATCTACGAAAAATAACTAAATCAATAGAAACATTAAAATACTTCACGAAAATATAAAAGAAAATAATACAAAAAAGTAGAAATTCAATGAAGCACAAGTAAACATAATCTTACAAAGACCTAAAACTCATGGCTGACAAAAATCAAATTTAAAGTTGTCGTAACTTTATGGCAGATTTCACCAAAAATCCTTTACTTGTCCTTGGACAAATTTGATGCAAGATTGTACTTCGTCATTGTCTGCCATCATGCTCTGCAGTCTGTCTTGAACATCGACAAGCAATTCCTTGCTAAGCGAACCTTTTCTCAAAGCAGTCATACAGATACTTGTAAGTGCTCTGAAGCATTGTCTCCTTTGAGAGTTATGTGGCTGGTTGTCCCAAACAGGTGTCGCTTTTACGTAACTCCACGCGAGAAATACGTACTGAAGAACAGACTCCCAATGCTGCGATTCTACTAACATCTTCCCTTGTTCAACCACGCATTTTTTAAAGGCTGACAAATGTATCGCCACACGAGAGTACGCAGGGGAATCTGTCTTAGAAATCAGTCGTGATGTTGGTAAACTTTTAAAGATGTTGGCTTTTAAATAGCTCAACTTTTCTTCAAGCGGCGCTAAATCCGGTTTAGGCATCTCCCGCCTAATTTCCTGTTCAATATCTGGATGTTTATTAGTAATTTGTCTGATCATGTTCACAAGCTGTGTTGGACTTAAACCTTTCAGACCTGCATCTAAAGGGCCTTTGAATTCAGAATCTAATGTTTTATCCAGTCGAGATTTCTTTGCAGGTGGTGTTCCTTTTACTGGGCTAATAAGTTGAAACTTTTGTGGAGTGCTGATGTCAGAGAAATCGATCTTTTCAGGGGTAAGTGGGATTCTTTCGACGTCGCCTAAAAGGAGGCGTTTTCTTGGTGTAGACCGTAAAGTTACTCCAAGTTTTGTAGGAGATACTCTATTCGGTGTGTCCTTGGGGGGCGTGCGCACGGTCGAGTGGAACGTGGAATTACGTTTGAGTTCGATATCTGGAGACCACGTTACTGGAATGCGTTTTCGACCTGAAACAATTTTCAAATATATCCAGTTATTAAGGTATAAATATAAAAGTAAAAATAAAATCGATTTGCATCCACAAAAAGTAGAAAAAGTAAAGAACTTGATTGAAGTCATAGCCCACATATCGTTGGTCCAGATGAACAGGGCATTACTTTGATTTAAACTTTCACGATTTTCACACATTATGGATTTTTAATTCGGGACTTAATCATGTATAAATCATATTTTAATTACTTCAACGTTTCGGACGTATTTCAACGTACATGGTCTCGAATGGACTGAAAAGGCGTTTAGATTTGCTGATAACTGGATTCCATGACGATGACATTTAAACCGTCTTCTCGTCAACCGTCTTTCATAGTCATGGGATCCAGTTATCAGCAAATGTAAACGACATCAAGTATCGCCTGACAAGTTACTGGTTGTCGTGAGTGTTGTGTGTCTGTCTATTGACAACCGTGGTACACAAATAAATAATGAAGACAAGTGCGGGTAGTTAGAAAAACTCGCACGGCTAGAAGATGCTGACACCCTCAACTTCAGTCCCTTCGACATGTAATACGTCCGAAATGTCGAGGTAATTAAAATATATTTTATACATCAAGACCCGAATTAAAAATGAAATAATGAACAGGGTATTATCTCAAAAACAGATTTTTCAAGAGAGCAATTTTAAAGTTTCTTCCAGGATTATTTCAGCCGCTATTGTTATTTGGGTCTCCTCGCCTATATGTATTTAAAGCCTACACATTTTACTGTATTTTCGAATATTTCCTATCCTTATACAGCTCCGTAGTTTTGACAAATTCCTGAAATTGTGACAAATTCCTGAAATTGTTCAGAGACATCTATATATACCCTTTTGAACATAAAATATTTGTGATTCAGAATTTTAACTAAACTATTCATGCTTAAGACTTTTAAATGAAAGAAGGAATAATATTCAATTCGATATAACTTTGAGGAACGTAGTAGTATCTCGAAAAATTATTCTATGCTATAGATTATCATGCCAATTCAATGAAAAAAATGACTCTAAAACTGAACTTCGACATACGCGACTTCGACAACATGTTACATTGACATGATTTTACTCAGACATTACGTTACTTCGACATTATTTTACTCAGACACTACGCTTCTCCGACAACATGTTACATAGACATGATTTTACTCAGACACTACGCTATATCGACAACACAGACGAGGTGTTTATTAAACAAAATCTTTGTACTCTGATAAGAAAAATCATCATTACAAATCCACGTAAGAAATGATTTCTTATATCGATTACTATGACAAAAAAGGACAACATTATGTAATCGGAAATTTATTTTGTTAAAATAAAGAGTTTTTTTTAAAACGGGACAGTATGAGGAAATCCGAAACCATAGAAGATACAACGAAACTATCTTAGGAACCATAAACTCGTCTTTTTTTGGGAAAACAATGTTGGCATAGTCAATTTTTTGGTCAAGCGTGAATTGTCCATAGAAACAAATAAAATTGATCAAAATCTTTTTTAGTGCTGATCAACTCAGAAGTATGAAGAGATCATTTCATTGTATGGGACGAAGAAAATCGGGAGAGCAGAAGTTCGTCAAATTTCATAAAATGTTATTCATTCATTCAAAAATTTTTTTTATTAAATTTGGCTAACTCTGCTGTTCCGATATTTTTCTTCGGGTATAATGAAGTCATTCTTTTAAGAAACTGAGTCTATTAGCATTAAAAAAACTTTGTCACTTCAACTAAAATTGTCAATTTTATTTATTTTCTATGAAAAATATTTTATGGAATTTGATCAACTTCTGCTGCCCCGATTTTTTCGTCCCATACAATGAAATGATCCCTTCATAACTCTGAGTCGATCAGCACTAAACAAAATTTTGATCAATTTAATTAATTATTATGGACAACCCACGCTTGACTAAAAAAAAATATGCCGAAATTGATTTCATAAAAAAAACTTTATGGTTCCTAAGACAGTTTCTTGTATCTTTTATGGTTTCGAATTTCCCCAATTGTCCCATTAAAAAAGACCACCTGTATAAAGTGAAACAAAAAAATATTAAAATAAAATAAAATATACTATTTCAAAAATCCAATCCATTATCCAAAAGTGTGCTTCGAAAAGCAGTTTCAAATTTTCTTCCGTCCCGAAAATAATAAGTTATGTTTTTTCTGTTTACTGTAATTAGGTTTTTGTACATACATGAAATAGTGTAGTAAAAATTTATATTTTAATTTAATAGTTTTTCATTTAAATACGGAAAAATAGTTTCATTTCCTATGTGTAACAATCGCGAAAACTTAATAGTTTTTTGTTACACTTTTATATAAAGTGTTACACTTTTATATAAACTAATAAAATAATTTTTCGATTATGTGATTTTTTTTTTGTTACATTGATCGATATATATAAGTAATATAATAAGAAACCATTTACTAGATGGGTTTGTAATGATAATTTTTCTTCTCAGAGTACAAAGATTTTTTTAAATAAACACCCCGTCTGTATTGTCGATGTAGCGTAGTATCTAAGTAAAATCATGTCGATGTAACATGTTGTCGGAGTAACGTAATGTCTGAGTAAAATCATGTCGATGTAACACGTTGTCGTAGTCGCGCGTGTCGAAGTTCAGGTTTAGAGTCGAAAAAAGAAGGTATTACCTTGAAATAATCGTCTTCGTTTTAGAAATAAAAATTTTTAAAATAACTTACCTTATAATGAGCTCATACTGTGTTTTAGTTTTAATACCCAGTTCAACGAACGACGACGACTTCATGACTACAGCTTCGTGTATAATACTGAATACGACTGTGTTGCTCAATGTTTGGGGCCAAAACACGGAAAAAGTTCAAAAATACTACTCTGCCTCCCGCGCCATTTCACGTCTGATCGTTATAAGACCCTGTTTATCAGAAACATATCGTTTCTTTTAGTAGGACTGCATTTTTAAGTAAAAAGTCCGAATGTTTGAGTTGATACCCTGTTTATCCAAGACAACGGCATATATATAACAAACAATAATTAAATTAATTTTGCACTAATTATTCAATAAAGTATCTTTTTTTACTTCGTTTTTGTTATAATCTTTGTATGGTGTGACAGGCTGGTGTCCGCAACTCGATATCTAGGCGCCTATTTTGCATGTTGTTATTATCTTATACAAAGACCTCTTTGCTGAATGAGCATTTCGTCAGGCGACGGCGCGGGGCTGAGATAACCAGGAGGCAATGCAGGGGAGCGCTCGCGCATGTTGGTGACCGGCTGTAGCGGTGTCACGCGCAGACGGTCTAATCGCACGGGGATCTCGGCTAACGCTGCGCGAGTACGGCGCCCGCCTTCTGGAGTCTGCGCGCCCTCCATCAGGGCAGCGTTTATTCTGTAAAGTTGTAGATACTGCATAACTATTACTAATATGTATGTAAATCTGTCTCAACAACTTCCCCTTGGAGGAAACACATGCCCAGTAAGATATTTACGATTGAAAGTCATCCATACATTAGGACAATCAACTGTGCCTAAAAAGGAAATTAAACATCAATTAGACTCATAATAATTAAGTAAATTCATTAATTGATTGAAGCTACTCAAATTTCTTTGCACTGTTAGATACTATATCAACCCATGTATTTTGCACGTTGAGCAAGAGTCTCTTTTAAGATATTGTTTATATCTAAATATAAGCAGTTGATAATATAATGGAACTCTAAATAAGGAAGTTAATTATCATTGTTTATTAAATCAAAATTGTTCTTCATAATTTCACTGTAATGTTTAAATTATTTTTTAAATCCAGAAGATTTTAGGTCTTTTGATTTAAATTTATGACTGTGATTATAAACCAGCATAAATAGCCATCTTCTAACTAGAAATACCTTTAAATGAGCTAGACAAAAGAGTAGATGAAAACTATAGGTGGAAACCTCTACAAACCTGCCATTGGTTTTCCATTAATGAATAATAAATAAACAAATAATTGAGGTTAAACCAAAGAGTAATTAGACAATATACTCATGATAATACTTTTCCAGTAAATAAACTGTAACATGCTTAATGTTTATCTTAAATTGATGATATTAACAAAAGCTGATGATTAAAATATCAAAATCCACTAAACAGCACTTCAAGCTATACATTTTTGTTTGAATATCACCCTTTGAGCAATGGAAAAATGCTGTTGCCGTCTATTTCAAAGCAAGCGTCTATTGCAAGCATTTCCTTTAATAATTAGGTAATTATTAGTAAATAGAACATAGAAAAATGTTTAAATGTTTCTACTTTACCCTACATACTAGTTTATTGGATGAATGGTAGTTGTGCCAGTGGATTAATTATCAGACTAAATATATTTAAAGCATTTTTAAATAGGTAATTTATTAAACATTTTTATTTTCTTTCTGTACTTATGTTACGCGGGCAATAACTGTACGTACCAGAAGGTCTTATGTGTGCATTTAACTTGAGAAAACACAGACGCGGTTCTGAAAAATAACACTTAGGTGTTAGCGATAATTTTAGTCAAAATAGAGATAGCATAATTTACAAACGAATACTGTGATCATAAACGATACAAAGCTTACTAATCCACAAAACAATACTTAAGAAATTCAAGAAAATTGTTAAATATCGCAACTTAATATTCGAAAAAGTTACGGTAAACTGTTATTCTAGATTGGTAAAAATTTTGCGTAGTTAACACGTAATATTTTTAGATTAATGTATAAATAACAATATTTACCTTTTTTCCTTTCCACCTTAGGCAAAAATATCATTGAAAACGCACTAAAATGAGTAAAAAAATACAATTTCGTCAAAACGAAACAAATCGCAAAATTGGCGCAATTCTTGACAGTTAACTGATTAACTGACAAAAAACTTTAGTGACGCGGACTAGAGTTCTACTCGGGTAAAAAAAATCATCTAAGTCGACAAAAGAATAAAAGAAAATTGACTTAAATTTGATTAGCTGAACAGATTCAAACAAATATAATTATATTATCTTGCGGTTCACCCTTCAGTAATATTTTCATTCATGTGAATGTACTTTTTGTAATTTGTTAGCTATCGGCATTATTACAATTCGATGTTCTGAACAAATCGATGTTTTAACATCACTATTGAAATTCAACTCTAATAAGGGTCGTATTGGAGTGTCCACTTAAAATATACATCGATGTCTTCATTGGATGTAAAACATCGAAACCTTGCATCAATGTATTTTGATGCAAGTGTGCTAGGATCGTATTCCAGAACCCTACTCAATGCTCAAGTCAGGAAATGAGCAGACTTGAGTATGATTTCAAGCATTGGAAATATGACCCTAATGGCAAGGACTTGAGTATGATTTTCAGTATTGAGTAGAGTTCTGGAATACGATCCTTAGTTTAGTAGCACTGGTCAATATAAGCCAGGAACTTAAAAAAAAAGTGATAAGACATATGTTGAGTGTGTGCTTTATTATTTATATTATTGTATATTTATAATACATGGTGAAATAAATGGTGCTAAAAGCTGGTTGGATCATTGCCTAGTAACAGAGGCAGCATGGAGGTCGGTAGTGAGCGTTGGGGTTCTTACCAATTTATACTGGTCTGATCACTTCCCTCTTGAAGTGTCTTGTAGTTTAAGTGTAATAAAATCCAAAATAAAAATAGATGTCAATGTATGTAGAAATATTATGTGGGGTTCAAGGGAACCAGATGAAATTGATAAATATAGTGAATTCTGTAATAATAAATTAAAAAATATTGATTTTCCAGTCGAATTACATGATTGTGCAGACCGTATGTGTCACAGCTTAGATCACAGGTTGATTATAGATAAACTATATCATGAAATTGTTGATATCTTAACACAGGCCTCTATAGAAAGTAGTAATATAAAAAGTAAGAAATTTAATAAATGTAAAATTGTATATGGCTGGAACAAACATGTAAAGGAAGCTCATACACAAGCTAGGCTAGATTACCAAAATTATGTTTTGTATGGTAAACCGGAGGGTGGGCCAATCTTACAAAGAATGCGTAATAGTCGTAAAGTGTTTAAATCTCGATTAAGACATTGTCAGAATAACCAAGAGCAAATAAAGATGGATATCTTGGCCTCTCAGCACTCAGCCAAAAAGTTTAATAAGTTCTGGAAAGGCACAAAAAAACTAAATAGTAAAAATAGTTTGCCTGCAAGCATAGATGGTGCTAGTGATCCTAAATTGATAGCTAATATTTTTAGAGAGGCTTTTCGAGTGAGCTCCGATTTGCCATCGAAACCTGGTTCTAGTTCTTATAGTCATGTAGTAAAGAATCCAATTAATTTCTCTGCGAAGGATGTGGCAGACATTGTGCATCATATGAAGAGAGGCAAGTCCCCAGGACATGACGGGCTTAGTATAGAGCATTTACATCATGCAGGACCTCATCTGTGTAGAGTGCTTTCTATGTTGTACACTTTTTGTTTACGTCACTCATATCTACCAGAGGCTCTTATGAAAACTGTAGTTGTTCCGATACTGAAGAACTCCACTGGAGACACATCGGATAAGAATAATTATAGACCGATCTCCTTAGCTACAGTGATCGCAAAAGTCTTTGATGGATTGTTGAATAAGCAACTTGATACGGTACTGTTGCTTCAGGACACACAATTTGGTTTCAGGGAGGGTCTGTCTACAGAAAGTGCCATATTATCTTTAAAACATACAGTGAACTACTATCTCAAGCGACAAACGTCAGTGTATGCTTGCTTCCTGGATTTGTCCAGGGCTTTTGATTTAGTTTCATATGATAAGCTTTGGACAAAATTACAGGAGGCAGGTGGTCCTCCAGAGGTTGTAGCAATTTTTTCATACTGGTATGGCAATCAGTCCAATGTAGTAAAATGGGGAAATGCTTGCTCTGACAAATATTCTTTGGAGTGTGGAGTGAGGCAGGGAGGACTTACCTCTCCAAAGCTGTTCAACCTATATGTAAATTCACTGATCGGGGAGCTTAGCAGCATGCATGTTGGGTGTTTTATTGATGATGTTTGTGTAAACAATCTAAGCTATGCTGATGACATGGTGCTGCTGAGCCCATCGATTGGGGGCCTGAGAAAACTACTGAAAGTTTGTGAGAGCTATGCACTTGTACATGGGTTGAGGTACAATGAAAAGAAAAGTGAATATATGTTATTTAAAGCTAACAGTAAATATCTAGAAAACATTCCACCTGTAATTCTTAACGGAGTACCATTAAAGCGTGTAAAACACTTTAAATATCTTGGGCATATAGTCACAGAAAATCTATGTGACAACTCAGACATAGAAAGGGAATGCAGGGCGTTATCGGTGCGTGGTAATATGCTGGCGCATAGGTTTGCTCGTTGTACAGCTGAAGTCAAAATCACGCTTTTTAAAGCATACTGCCAAACATTTTACACGAGCAGCCTATGGGTCAGCTTTACGAAAGGGGCCTATAACTCCCTACGCATTTTATATAATAACGTGTTCAGGGCTATGTTTGGGCTTCCTCGCTACTGTAGTGCGTCAGGTATGTTTGCCGACGCAAGTGTAGATGATTTTTACGCTCTGATGCGAAAAAAAGTGGCATCCTGTTTACGCAGAGTGAGAGAGAGCTCAAACATAGTTCTCAAGGCGATAGGTGAGAGGTTGGATTCTAATCTGCTCGCTAGGTTCACCGAGCTGCATGTCCAGGGAGCGCGGTGATCTTGGCGGGTATGTTGGATAGACTGACCGGGCATTTTTATTTTATTTTATTTTGTAATTTTTGTACTAACAATAGAATAAGATCAATCCTTTGTACTAACAAACTGGACTGTATATTGTCTGAAATAAATGATTTTTATTTTATTTTTTTTATTTATTTATTTTATAGGTGAAAAAAACTGTAAATTAATAGAAATGTTTTTACGCAAGAATAATTCCTTGTAGGTATGTTTTTTTTGCAATTAGGTAAACTGTCTAAAATATACAAATAAGTTCGACACATATTCAATTATTCATTCACGGAAAAAGGAAATAAGCTAGGATTATAAATGCAAATATAACAAACACTAAATTACTTACAATATTAAATTGAAACACATAGGCACGCCAGTGTTAGTTGTTTTCTATGATTCGATGTTTTTATTAAAAATATCGATGCATAGAATAGAATTTCTTCTTGTCAAAACATCGTACAAATCCGATGTATCGTACGATAAACATCGAATGGATTCGATGCATCGATGTTCAACGAATCCCTATCGTATTCCAGAACTCTACTCAATGCTCAAGTCACGGGGGCTACTCTCGATCTCCGTGTGATCTCCGTCCGAAACAATTACTGTCAAATAAGTAATATTTGTCAAAATTAAATGACAAGTATCCTGTATGAAGCTTCACTCGCATCACGCGTCTTTTCATTTGGTCAAGTATTGCTTATTTGGCAGTAGTTGTTTCGGACGGATGTCGTACGGAGATCGAGAGTAGACCCCCAGGACTTGAGAGAGCGGCGGAAGCTGGGACTGCGACGACGCACTAGAAATCATGCTCAAATCCTTGCCATTAGGGTCGTATTTAATAGTACTTGAAATCATACTCAAGTTCTGACTAGAGCATTGTATTCTGAGTATGATTTCAAGTACTGGAAATACGACCCTAATGGCAAGGACTTGAGAGTGATTTCTAATGCTTTAAATCATACTCAAGTCCTGACTTGAGAATTGAGTAGAGTTCTGGAATACGACCCTGAGCGGAGTTTTTTAATTTTTTTTTTAATTTATTAAGGCTTTGGCAAAGCCATCAGCCTAAACATGAAGTTTAATTATGTTTCTGTAAATATGGCCGCCACAAAGAGGATAGGCAATTTGAGGCGGCGTAATTGGATTGACTCGGGATTCCTTAAAACGGGCCGATACGGGTATTTTAGTTCGAGATTCGTATAATTTCGCGTTTTATTCTTCGATTAAGGCACAATAGCACTATCCTATTCCACTTTAAACTAGATTTCACAAAATAATTGAAAGTCAAAATAAAAACGACACTTTTCCCTCCAAAAGGTCCAGAGCGAATCCTGAGTAGAGTTCTTTTTTTTTTTGACTCATTGAAGTTAGCTGCAGATTACGATGGTGACTTTAGGGAGGTCCGTATTCGTAATATACACCTAAATATTGTGTTTTTTTTTTCATTGCATATTTTATGCTTTTATTTATAATGCATAAAAACTCAAATACGCAAGATCGTAAAGTCACACAGTGAATAAATGTCTTTTCATTAAACCAATTACAAAGATATATATCAAAGTATGTGAAAACATTATACTTAATAAGTATTTTCTATGACAGAAAAGTATTCACTTGATTATTTTAACAGTGACATTCAATAGTGGTGAACAAATTACAAATACCCATCACTATGAAGTTCATCTGTGTGTGATTGTAATCGAAGTTGCATTTTCCGTTGTTCGAATGATTTTTGTGATATTTAAAGATCAAAAGCGGAAAAAAGGTTGTTTTATCCATAATCCAGGTTATAATTGATATTTGGCGTGTTTTAACATTTGTCTGTGAAGTAGGTCGTGGTGAATAATAGCGGTCACAAAGTAGGTTCTAGAAGGCGTTGTAGACCTTTGAACGATGAATGTTTGTGGTAGGCTTTAGATAGCATGGAGAGGCTGTCGCATGACTTAAACCTGGCGTTGGAGGAGAGTAATTGCTGCCGCCAAGAGCGGCGGAAGCTGGGACTGCGACGACGCACTAGATCCGCTGGCAATCTGCGTAAGTTATGGTTTTGTTTTTCAAGAATTAAGTTTCCATTGATAAAACATTTATATTTTAGTGAAAAGAATCCGAAGAGACACTGTGTATTAGGATTTTGCATGTTCCTTCATGAATGATAATTACAGAACACGTAGATTGTTTTCATTTCACTTTTTTAAATTGCGTTGGTTTTTTTCCTTGGGAAAACACTTTGTCGGCTGTTTCATGAACTTGCTTGCTATGGTGTGTTCATAAATTAATTTCAACACTTATAATCAACTTTAAGGTACTTCATACCTACAATATAATATACTCAATATATTTTATAGATATATAAAGCAGTAGCTGCAGTAGAACAATTGAGATTGACTGTCTAGTCTAGGGTATCTTTCATTCATTATAATCAGCCAGAACCCATATACCCACAGCTAACCATAACCCTCCAATCTAATAGATTGCCATGCACAATTAATAAGAGTTTCCTGCAACTAACAGCTCAAACCCAGATACACGAAATTGTCTATCCATCCACTGTGCAGAATATTCAGTTGTGTCCATGTGCACTGGTGTAACACACAGCTGTTACATTTTGATATTCTAGGGAAGTCACCATAAACACAGAATTGGCTTGGGCTGGGAGTCTACACCCATTCTCCGTCTGACAATTGCCGTCAAAAAAAAAGACAATGTCAAGTTACTACATCTATATGTCAAGTATAAGGCTTCATTTGCATCATGCGTCTTATAATTTTATCAAGTTATTATTTATTATTATTAACCTATACTCTTAGAGGATGAAAAAAAAAATAAAAGAAAGGAGCAGCCCTAACTACAGAATTAACGTGCATATAACCAAAATTTGAAAGTTACAAATGGCGAATTTCTTTAGTGTTGTATCATAATCTTTCAATAAGTCATTGTCAACGTATGTATGGCTTGAATGTTGAAACTGTTTTTTTTTCGTTTCTTTAGTTTACTGTTACCAAAGTATGCCTAAACAAACACAAGTTTAATAATTTAATCTCTAGTGTAATCTCTAAAGCCACATCCCTTAATGCTGCAGTGTCGCATTTTTATTAATACCTAATTATTCTCACTGTCAATAGTTTTCTAATTTAATTATAATATAATACATGCGAATAATTCAATAGTACATTTGGAAAAACATTTGTTTTGACATTTGATGTACTTCCCTTGGACAACAGTATCATGTAACTCATGTACTGCGAAATGGACATGGTTGACATTTAAGATGACGTTACGTATTTTCGATTCCCGTGTTTGACACAGACCAGTGTAATGCTATCTCTTTTGGCTTAAGATGGCACGTAATAGTTAAACAAAGACAATAACATGTGTATGTTTTCGACATTGAAATGCATCATATACATATAATGTCTGATTTATATATGTCAACGTAACATGTCCTTTAGTTTCCATAGTCTAAGCCTATACTATACTGACATTCAATTATATTGACAATTATATTCATAAATTACTTGAACTACAACATCAGCGCATCCTGAAGACGCATAGGTCTCCACAAGCTCTATCCATCTGGCTCTGTCCCTTGTTAGCCTAGTCCATAGAGGTCCTGCGATTTTTTTAAAGTCGTCGGACCATCTTTTAAAGGGATGACCTCTTTTCCTCTTGGCGTTTTCTCTTGGTAGCCATTCTGTTACCTTGCTGGTCCACTTTTCTGTTTTTTCCCTGTACATGTGGCCAGTCCACTTTCACTTTAGCGTTTTGATTTTTCTGATGACATCCTCCAACTTGGTGGTCCTTTGTATGTCTGTAGCTCTGTTTTTGTCTCTTAGAGAGAATCCGACCATACTTCTCTCCATTCCTCTTTGACAGGTTGTGAGTTTCTCATGGTGTTTACTCATCAATGCCCATGTTTGGCATCCATAGGTCAAAATTGGGAGGATGCAGATGTTAAAGACCTTTTTCTTTGCTGCCATTGGATAGCGCTTGTTTCTAAATATGTCTTTGAGTGACCAATATCGGTTCCAAGAGTTGGTAACCCTTCTTTCTATTTCTTGCTCAGTCTGATCACTAAATGACACTAATTGGCCCAGATAAATGTAGGATCCTACATATTCAATGTATTCTCCATCTACAGTTAGAGGTTTTTCAGATCTGTTAGTGATTACTTTGGTTTTTTCTTTATTAATGGTTAAGCCCACTTCTTTGCTTTTAGTTGCAATGCCTTGGATCATGTATTGTAGGGAAACAGGATTGTGGGAAAATATTACTAAATTGTAAGCAAACCTTAGATTATTCAGTCTTTCACCGTTTATGTTTATGCCTCTATCATTCCATTCGATGTTTCTGAATATATTCTCAAGAACCGCTGAGAAGAGTTTTGGCGAGAATGGGTCACCTTGTCGGACTCCTTTCTGTATCTGAAATGGTTTTCCCAGAGATTCTAATATCACCTGTGCTGTGCTGTTAGAGTATATGTTCTTTATGATCCTTATGTATTTCTTTTCCATACCCTGCCTCTGTAAAGCTATCCAGATGTGATTGTGGTTTATAGAATTGAAAGCTTTATTGTAGTCTTTGAACCCTATGTATAGTGGGTACCCATATTCTTGTGATTTAGCAAAAACTTGTTTGATGGCGTGCATATGGTCTAAGGTGAAGAAGCCCGACATGAAACCTGCTTGTTCTTTGGGTTGCTCTTCATCTAGCCTTTTCGCGATTCGGTTTAGTACGATCTTAGAAAATACTTTGTATACATTCGACATCAGACTTATGGGGCGGTAGTTATTCATGTCTCCTTTATCTCCTTTCTTGTGTATAAGTATGATGGCACTGTTTGTCCATTGTGAGGGGATTAATTTTGATTCGAGTATAGAGTTGTATAAATTAGTTAGACTCTTGACCATACCTGGGAGGTTGCTCTTTTCATTTGTTATACTGCCTGGACCTGGTGTTTTGTCAAATTTCTGGAACAAGATAGCAACAGTGACTTCACTCTCTAGAATCGGTGGTATACTTTCATTGTTTAGGTCT